CTTGGAACAGTTCCTCATCAACTGGGTGTCAAACAAAATTAAATAGCTTTTGTCGAAACGCCTTCACTTGGGTATACATGTCGCAAATGAGAACTGTTTTGAACTCGTTGATTGAACTCGTTCATGTGTGTGGTCAGATACACAGAAAAAGCTAATTTCCAATGTGAGTAGCGGCTGGGGTCGATTCTGTTCATCCTGAAAAATTTCAATTTTTGCCCGGAGTTCAAAAAATCGTGACAACATGAACACCTTGCCACAGGTAAGCAAACGAACGGAAGTGTGATACGTAAGTTAAATCTGGATATTCTGCTTCTATCTCCTCCAAGAAAGCACGAAACTAACGATGGTTAAGTCCGTGAGAACGAATGCAGTTTACTATTGAAACAACAAGTTCCATCACAGAAGATAAATCCATATATTTGCCACAGTGCCTGCTGGTGAATAATGCAGTGAAAAACCAAACGCTTGGGACAGCCCGCAATTGCAGTAGTTTTGTACATTTGCCCAACTAACCCTTTTCCAGAGGGGCACATGTTTCTTGACCATCGGTTGTGACGCGCTTGAACCGTTTCTACTCCAGGCCGTAATGCAGGAGAGATTTCTCGACTTCTTCGAAAATTTCCTCGCCTGTTATTGTACCGTGCATGTCGTGCACCGTGACCAACTCTTCAATCACTTCAAAATCTTCTCTGACCCCACGAACATACAGCAACTGCGAGGTAGAAGTGACATCAGTTGATTCATCAAGCGCGAGAGAAAAGTACTTGAATTTTCTGGCTTTTTCTTCGAGTTGAGACACTATATTTATTCCAATATTTTCAACTCGACGAGCAACTGTATTTGCCGAAGGGCTTATAGTTTTAGACAAGTATATTTTTTCCGGGCAGAGTTAGTTGGCTGCTTCAATGATGCATAATTTAATTAACTCACCATCGGTCAAGGGCTTTCCTCGTTTTGCTAAAAGATGTAACACACGGAAACTTTCGATTGCTGCAGCTTCATTCTCGGCATTCTTTTTCTCGAACAAAAACTGTTGCGCTGCCAAGTTGTGTCTCGGCGCTTCCAGCTTGTCTGCATGAAGCTTTCCTTTGAGTTGCGAATAGTGTTTTGTATCATAATGTCTCCGAGTGTTGCTCTCTTTCGGCACTGCAATATGCTATCATTGCATATTAACCATAATGCTTTGTTACCAACTTATTAAACTCGATAACAAAGTAGCATGCATCCAACTTTTCCTTGAATTCACGGCATTCAGAGCCCACATTTCTCTTCTTTCCCGGTCCCGACATTGTCACCTGAAACACTTCCAAACTTGGGTTCACACTGGCAAGCAGACCAGGACGATAATGTTCTCCTCAATCAAAGGATCTTGGGTGGTTCAAGGCAACATTTGCAAATATTTTATCAATTTTTAGAGACACCAGTCACGCCCATTTACTGTTTTTTAGATCATGCGTAATCAGAAATAAACGCCACGCTCGATTTTTGTACACGTTATGTTGATATGCGAGATACCCTCGGCGGGCCGGATGGAACCTAGCCGAGGGCCGGATCCGGCCCGCGGGCCGTAGTTTGGAGACCCCTGATTTAGACGAATGGATTGGGCCGAAACATTGAGTATATGGGCTGCCATTCAGTATATGGGCTGCTGTCGAAATTTCGCAGAGAAGGCAATCCATTTTACCGTCAATTAAGAAGGATTGCCATCGTGGTGTCAGAGAAAGCTTATCCTGCGCAAATAAATGAGGGCTGATAATTGTATGATATTTTCTTTCATTATCAAATTCTTTGTTCTTTTGAGGGGTGAGTGGTCAGGTGGCAGAGGGTCAGAATCATAGACATCAAGGCCTCGTGACCGACTCAGTTGGTGCGATGTTGTTCATTAACTAAATTTTGTGGTCAGTATAGTCACTGAATTAGTCGTGCTGTCAACACAATTCCGCATATGGCTTTGTTTGTTCTCTATGCATTGCTGATGCTAATCTTCAACAGTCATCAAGACGGCTGGTTCACACACTCACTATTGAATAAGCCTTAGAAGCTGCTTCTTTAAGATAAAGCCCATTTACCGCATCACGATCTCGCTACCTCAACACTTAACGACCCACGTTCACTGTGATAAGGCGATTGTGATTGCCCTCACGCATAACTGCTTGAAAATTTTATTCGTAAGAGGCGCGACCTCAACTCCGACACTTCGTAGGTTTATCCTGTGACACGCACTGCATGGGTCACGCGAGATGTATATGAAGTATCTCTGGATGAGCTTCATGCTTGTGAACACTAAAATCTCTGGGAATGTCCAATGCATTGTTTTAAGCTACATATTATACAATGCAATAAAAAATTTAAAACCTTTGAATTCATTAATCGGATGATTGTCAACGACACGGTGCTAATAAAACATATGGGAATTAAAATACGGTCGATTGATGACCGTGTGCTACTAATTATGAAATAGGTGAATTAATTAATCTATCCATATATTTATCGATACAGCTTCTATAAATAGCGTGAGTTCTTTCAGGCTGATTTATCTTTTCAGTTAAAGAGACATAACAGAAACGCAGTAAACTTCATGCCAAAAAATATTGTGGCATCGCAAGTCCATGTTAAGTTTTAAGTCGGTCGCGCAATGACTCGGCAAGATTTGCTGCCAAGCCTCCAAAAAACATTGCTTCTTTTTCAGTTCTTTCACATCATCTCTGAACTCCACGTGTGTTCCCTTATTTCTATGAACTCCGCTTGTGTTCCCTACATCATACACACTAATACCTCAAAAAAGTCACTTCAAAATTTTGTCGTTAGTTTGCTTTTTCAGTTTCCAATTTAAAGCTTCTTACCATCTCATCAAACGAATATTGCCATCCGTCTATTAAGTTTACACGTTGAGACTTCTAAGTTCACATCGTTTGGAATCGGTATTTCTCCCTATAAGTAATCTAATATCGCCTATTGAGCTCACTAAGTCCTCATTTGGATTTTCCCCTTATAGAAAATTTGAAATTCAACTTCTAAATTAACTACGACTACATTCGGCATTTCCTCTTAAAACTAATCACCTTTCGACTTCTAAGTTCTCCGCCTTCACATTCGGCGCTTCCTCCATATCCTCGCTATTCGACTGTTAAGTTCACCGAGTCCGAATTCGATTTTCTTCCAAATAATTTTCTCCAGATTCTTAAATTTACAGCAACCGTATTCAGCTTTTCCTTCTATGAGTGTTTGAAGTTCGACTTCTAAAGTTCACCGAGTTCGAATTCGACTTTTCTTCCAAGTAATTTTATCAAGATTCCGAAATTTACAGCAACCGCATTAGGCTTTTCCTTATATGAGTGTTTGAAGTTCGACTTCTAAAGTTCATCGTGTCCGCATTCGGCTTTTCCTCTTCACAGCGCACTCGCCGAATCGCTCACCCACAAAAGATTTATTCCGCCACCCGACGACTACAATGGCCAGGAATTTCCACGCGTCTGCATATCCTTGCATGGCCGCTAGCCATAACGTGGGCCGAGCTTAAAATGAATTGTAGTGGCGCCAGCGCAACTTCTTTTACCTCGATGATTTTTTTATCGTGAACCCTGGGCATGGTCGAGCACAAGACCTTCAAGGGGAAGGTTGGGGAAGAGGGGGTGTGGAGATGCATGGTGTAGGGTGTTGCTAGTGTATTTCGGTAAGACGAGGTTGGGAATCTCGACATGAGCTGCTTATTGGGAGCTAATTTTGAACTTGTTGTTGACGCGTGGGACGTAAATGTGTTGCACTCATAAGGTGGGAGTTACGTGTGGGGCGAAGGAGGATGGGGAGGAGAGGAATGTGTGACTACAGTGGGGAATGCGTGAGGGTCGTGATCGAGGAATGTGTGACTATAGAGAGAACTACGTGAAGGTATTGATAATGTGTGAATGTGAAGAAGTTTTATGAGTTACAGTGTTAAGGAATGTGCAAGGGTGGTTTGGAATATGTGGACCGGCTTAAAAAAAGCTAAAAAAAGGTTATGGGGTATAGGGGGTGGGGATTGGGGCTGTTGTATGGTGGGGGGAGGCTATGTGTCTCGCAGTTTCAGGGCCGCGCTGGCGCCGGCGGCCGTCAGATGCGGCACTCACGGCGGCTCTACACTTCAAGCTATGGCAGGATTATCGGTGGCCGCTCTTAGTCAAGCCAGCTCCCATGGAGCGGCGAATTGATCATAAGAGTCATTTGATGAGCTGAGTATTTTGGCAGAGCTGAGTATTGACAGAGCTGTGAATGAACTAAGCTACGGTGCTCAGACCCTTATCCTCCAACAGTGCGGTGCTCTGCCATCTTATCCTCCAACAGTGCGGTGCTCTGCCATCTTATCCTCCAACAGTGCAGTGCTCTGCCATCTTATCCTCCAACAGTGCAGTGCTCTGCCATCTTATCCTCCAACAGTGCAGTGCTCTACCATCTTATCCTCCAACAGTGCAGTGCTCTGCCATCTTATCCTCCAACAGTGCGGTGCTCTGCCATCTTATCCTCCAACAGTGCGGTGCTCTGCCATCTTATCCTCCAACAGTTCGGTGCTCAAACTTATCCCTCGCTCTCTTTAGTCCACAGTATTTTCTTATGGTTGTTGTGTTCGGCCAATCAAGATTAGCTAGCAAGAACCCGCTCATGTGGGATTGGACGCGCGCATAAGCTTGCTAATCATGATGCACGATTGTCGTGAAAGGTTAGTTGTTAACGATTGTCGTGAAAGGTTAGCGGTTAACGGCGTCGACCGACTGGTTTTGCTCGCCTGTGTAGCGACAGGTTCGCTACATCGACTCAATGCATGAAAAACTCGGGGCGTTGGGGCCCGGTGAAATGTTTTTATTGAGGTCTTGTTCATGTTTTTAAATCATAATCTTAATTAGATTTGGTCGCTGCTTCAACTGAAATTGTTAACTAAGCAATAGTTTATTTTTTTCTATAAAAGGTTGCACGGATGTTTGGTTCAATAAAAGAACTTTATTCTTTATTATTATTTAATTTGAAAATTACTCATCGCTGTCATCGCTACCGTCTTCATCTTTATCCAAAGATTCCCTGCAATCGGACTCCTGTGGAAATTAAAGAGCGCCTTATGACAATCCCTTGTCTTGAGCTTGATTTACTGGCTACAGCTTACGCCACAAACGTCATCCTCAAATAATAAGCAAAACAATCACAGGATTAATTAACTTGTGCATTTCCAACTTGCATTGGTAAAAACAATATAGTGTTCTTCCATATGATCAACGCTGAATTAAGTAACGAACGCGAGCGTTTGCTCGACAAAAGCGTTTATATGACACTTTAATAAAAACAATTGATGGACCGTAATGAATTTTGTGAGTTGCTTGTGACCAGGAGCTTAACAGTAAAAAAACACATTAACAAATTACATTACTAATTGCCATTACCAATCAAATACATGTATAAACATGGTACCGTGTGTTCAGGTTCCGTGTCGACTTTAGCGAGTATTTGTGAGCAGGCTTGTGAGTACAGCTCAACCGCCCTCACATGACTCGCCAGCTCCGTCTGAGTACAAAACATGAGCGTCTTAATCATCATTACATGTTACACACTGTTACAATTATTGTTTATATTGGGCTCGAGAAAGCTAAAATCTATAATATATATTATGAATGATAATATAATTATACTTGCAATGTATTTATAACAATAATTATATAATTAAAATTGAGCTGATACTAGGATCAATTCCATTACAAATTCCATTTGCGTGGGGCAAAAATGGGGTTATGAAGTTCTATTCTGCAGACGTTGTGTTAACAATGACATTCTACCCTTAAACAAATATCAGCATCGTAGTGATAAGACATTATTAATGTCCGTTCTGCTACATTCTAACTATCCTGGGTCACACATTTCAATGAGTGTAGATTTTACATCATTGACTGAGTGTCTTAGCAAATTTTGTACGTCTTAATCCCTACAAAAATCTTGTTGTTCTCACGGGAGAAGATCGGTCAATCCATCAACTTCCTGTGGACTATGAGCCTTTTCTGGATTCTGAGAAACCTACCGTTTAATTTCACTAACTACTCCAATTCAATGTAATTTTATCTCAACCGTATATCATTTGGATTATAATTTTTACATATTTAATTAATAATTCAGAATAATTTAGACGACGAGGATTGATTTATCACCTGCAGCAGATCGCGTAGAGCTCGCCAGCAGCGATCCTGCAGAGCTTTCCGATCCTCTGCCAACTTCTGAAAGAAAGAACAAGTTTGGTAGGGATTTGAATTTTTTATTTTACATTATTTTCATTAAATGTTTTCTTATAATAGCAAATAAGGCAGTTCTGCCTTATTCTGCCGAGGAACTACTTATTCGTTTTGATTATCGGTTACTTTGAACAGAATGAGGTTCTTTACGCGTTCCAACGAAGATCTTGTGTTATTGTGTGTGGTTAGTGGAATAACAATAATAAACTGTAGGATTACTAACGGTGAAAATGTACATAAAAGAAAATAGTAGCTAAATGTTACCGGATTATCACTGTTATTCGCTGCGAAGCTGGTGCGTTTAGAGCGAGCCTGGCGACAGCTGGTGGCGCAGGCGTGGAGGGAGGGAACCACCTGACGCTCCAACCTTTCCACCTGCAGCGATCTCAAGTACGGCAAATTAATTAATTAATTAATTAATTGATTATCATTTAAACACTGTCAGACTGCCTAATTTTTCAATGTTATATAATCATACAAAGTTCAGGTACATTTGTATCTATGCAATCCGACATGGGTTTAGATTCCACGGAAAGTGCACGATCTTGAAAACTTACATGACTTCCAGTGATTTTCTAAACATGAATTCAAGGAGAACACTTCGATCTACCCATGAATATTTTCTTACTTAGCCGTTGATAAATTTAGGAAAACTTTGAACTTGAATGCAAAATCAAGCTAGTGACTCAATTAATGTGCAGGAATGGAAATAACAAGTGAATGCTTTGTACCATCACTTTAATAATTTGAAATAGTTATAGATTAAACAATCATAGATTTAAAACGGTGCGCCCGAACATAATACACAAGAAACTTTCAAAGCCAGTTACCATTTAATTTTGTTAAAAAAACACAATTGGTTTCTAAATTCTCACTTACAGAGAGGATACTCGAAAATGTAAAAAGGCAGAATGATATCTATACTTGTGCTCACTTGAATCTGATTTTCAGATACTTGTAAATCGATCCACTGGTCTTTGCAATCAATTTTTTGAACTTTTAGTTTAGCGAACTTCACTTTTAGTGAACTTCATACTTTAGCGCACTTCACAGACTGTTGTAATTTTGGTATATGTGAAGGATGTGGAGAAGTGACCGAGTGATTAAGAGAATATTAGAATAGCGAGCATGGCGCTCAAAACCCGCAACTCGCTGGGAAAATTCTGGTCAAAATCTATACGGTGGCTGTGTGGTTACAAGTGAGCGACAGGCCAACATCTGATCAACGTTGACATAAATATCATGTATTAAACAACCGTCTTATAATTATGGTACCTGTAATCTTGCACTTGCGAGACACATTGCGCAGCAAAAAATATCTTGTTTTTAAGATGAGGTTCAAAGATGGCGCTTGTCGACAAAGTGTGAAGTTGCGTTGCTATGTCATCCCCTTGACCTCGCAATCTGATAATTGGAAGTAAAAAAACAATAATTAAGGTTCATTCTATTATAAACATTACTTATTGCGTTGCTTCATATATGACAATTGTGATAGTGCAGTATTTTCGTACAGCCTTTAGTACAGTATTTTTATTGCTAGTTAAAAGCTCGTTTAAGCCAACGTTCAGTAATTGAAGCAAATTTTATAACCAACATTCTACGGGCAAAATTTATGCGCAGTCATAAATAGGAAATCGTACAGCAGCCGGTACAAATTTATGTTTATGTTGTTTTCATTGTTTCTCTTCAGGTTTATTTGAGGTTACCATAATTTTACTCTTAGGAGAACCCACTTGGCCACTACGTTGGCATATTTTGCGGTTGCAGTGCAAAGATTTCTCAAGCTGCTTTCGTCTTTCGATAAGAGTTTTAATTGGTTCCCCTCCCGGTGGCGTGAAACTGCCATAGTTACTCACAGCAATGAGGATTAGAAAGAAAACGAGTAGAAAACAACCCTGCTGAGGTTGTCTCCGGATAACAATTGTGTTTCTGCCCGTCTTAATCACACCTTATAAATCATCTATGGGACCACAGACTACTTCAGAATGGGAACCTTTTTTTTCAAAATAAGTTATCAATACTTATGGCGATAGCGGCAAAATAAGCGAATGAACTAATCGCCCATGATCCGTAAAATAATGTACTGCGTAACAATAAAATTTTTGTTACATCATATCATATCATAGTGATGTCGGCGCTAAAGAATAGGCCTGATGTGGCCAGATTCTTGTATTTTTTGTGACTTGTCCACAGGAGATCTAAAACAGTTCCTTTGAAATGATCTTGTCCAAACTGACTATAGATTGAAATAGCTACTAGACTTCAACCGAGTTCGATATTGTGCTAGACATTTCAAGTCTGAACATATATTTTTTCATAGCTTTATCAAGTCTATTATGGTTTTCAGACGAACCCTTGCCAATAGTTATATGATGAGTTATTGAAATCATCACAGAAGATATTTACTCCATTATTGGCTTCCTGAACTTAAAAATAAAATATCGTTAAATTAATTTTTGATATGTATGAATATGATTAATTCTGGGCTACATTCAACCAGCGATGAGACTGAATTACGTATTTGGGTGAAGAACATCTTTGTTTACGTATATTTTCGTTGTTGAGAAATTGGTTGCCATGGAAACAAGATATTCAAAAAGCTAAATTATCTATGCAATCGAAACTGTAACTCTCGTCGATTTTAGTGATGAGTGACGTGGGAAAACACAGTAGCGAGTGAATAAAAATGTTAGATATGATGGTTTTCTCCCTGCAATTAAAGCAGGTGGACATCACATATTTCAATCCACAAAATTATACAAAACCCCCATGGTTGGATGGAATTATTCCAACACGAGAAGACAATGCATAAAGACTTAGGAATATACCTAATATTTCTCCTAGGGTAAATTTTGCATACGATTGAACGAAGATCATCAACGTATACTAGTATATATGTTTTACTATTATAATTATGACTAAGGCATTCAGGAAGTTATTACTTGGCTTAGTACCATATGAAAATCCTGTATGCTTGCGAAACTATCAAATAGTGTACATAGTATATGTCAATACTATTTATATCAAATAGCATATATAAATGATAGTTTTTTATTTTCCTTCACAGTGGACAAAAGTGCCGCAAGGACGCGTTCCGAAATCTGCCATCAGTGTTACCGATCCAATCATCGAAGTCCGTTGGCCCACTTCGTTCATAGTTGTGCTTGTGTGCTGCCTCGGATTTGCGACGTAGAATGGTATTCCGTTCCCAATACTGGCAGTAGTTTCAATTCACAATTAAAGTATTTTCATAAATCTTCTTCTTATATTTTTTGTGATTGGCCGAAGTGATAATTCATAATACAGAAATGAGTGATGACGGGGAAACTCTTCCTGCTGGTTGGGAGAAGCGGACCAGCCGCTCTACTGGTAAGAGGAAGAGTTGAAAAACCAACAAATAATGAGAAGAGGCTGACAACAGTAGTGACTGATGTCTGATTAGAGTGTCTTGTCCTATTTATATGAATGAATAATATAATAGAAAATATTTTAACTTTTTAAGTATAAACTTATTATAGTTTTCCATTCATATTTGAAATGAATAAATTGATGGTATTATTGCAGATTAACTACATCCAAAAAAAAGGGTGTTTTTTTTTTAATTATATGTTTTTTGGGGTGTAGATTACGAATCTGATATCCATTTTTGGCGGTCGGCTAATTTCAGATTCGTAATCTACACCCCAAAAAACATATAATTAAAAAAAAAAACACCCTTTTTTTTGGATGTAGTTAATCTGCAATAATACCAAATTGATACTAATAAAATCATGATTGATTCTAAATTTTTAACATTTTCAGGTCAGTCATATTATCTGAACCAGTTTACAAAAGAAAGCCAATGGGATGTTCCAACTGAGCCTGCCAAAGCAGCTTCAAACAATAAGGGAGGTCCAGAAAAGGTAAATGGTTCAATTCTCTTCAAAAAAACAAATTGTAAAAATCATATTCTTTACTAAAATCATGTGGCATTGAAGTCACTTATTTTGGAGCAAGTGTGAAAAATATAAAGTTTTTGTATCTGATCTGCAAATGGAACTTTCCTGCTTTGTTATACAAAATTTTCTACTACTACTAGTACTAGTACTACTAGATTGATAGACTTTTTTTCAGTTAATTATGAATAGTAATACCTATAATAATATATTGCTTGATTGAGTCACTCAAACTTAAATTCATAAATATTATGTGATTTTGTCAGTTTTTCTTTCTTATTTTTGATAGATTTGAAACATTGTGGCTCAATTGTGTAGGTGTATATGTATTCATAGTTTTACATAGGGTAAACGCAGTATATTCTGACATCGTAGGTAATTCCGTCACTACTCTAGTTTTTCCTTTATATTAAGCTTTGTTTTAGTTCCATGCGTTCATTGATGGTTGAAATGGTGACGTCATACATTTGCGTGTCGAAATACTGAGCTTAATTAAAAGCCTAATAGCTGTTAATTAAAACGTAATTAAGTAGTGTTCAATATTCGTTAGTGTTCTAATTCAAAGCCGTGTTGTATCCCAATACAGCTCACAGCCTCACACAGCAAACGGAATTCGAACACGTGGATGTCGGCAATACGTATCGGTTAAATTTGAAGCGCTGACGCAATACGACTCACCACGTGTCGGATGTTGCCACACAAAGTGACGGAATATAGGGATTTGGTAGGTTTCCATTCTAAAGGCTTTTTAATAAATATGGCAACATTTTGTGACGTTTCATCGTTGCTGACGTGTAGTGAAGTGTTTTGAGAGTCATGTGAAGGCAACAGAACTTACGTAACGCATACGTTTTTTTTTTATAGTTTTTCATTTCTCGATGCGTCCTTAAAGTGTCGGAATATACCGCGTTTACCCTACAAATAATCATTAGAAATAAATAAGAATGGTAATCTTGTTGTTCCAAAAACAGCTGAAAAGCTCCATCTACAGATAAGACGGTGGAGATTTTTCGCTCAAATGGCTAAGCAAAAATATTGCTTTTCAACTAATAGTGAATAGGTGTATTGTTTTTTAAGATTGTAAAAGAACTTCTACTCTAAACTTGAGCCTCTATTTTTATATATTTTTGGTGGCTTTGAGCTGCCATTGCTGTATGCTTTTCAACTGTGATTCAAATTTGTTACTAGGTTTGGATTACTTGAATTAAATAAACAGAAACTTGTTCAAATTTTTTTTAATGAAACATTTAGAGTTTTTTATATCCATGTACCTCTGTATGACAATATTATGAAATTCTATATTGACTTGGGAAATAAATAAAAACTCATTTTTCCACCAGGTCCAGTGTTCTCACCTCCTGGTAAAGCATGCTGGGTCTCGTCGACCATCGTCTTGGAAATCTGAGGAGATTACTCGCTCCAAAGAAGAAGCAATTAAAATGGTTCAAGGTATTAATTTTCTGTATGAGTGATAAAAGGTGGCTGCCTTTATCTCCCTTCTCAAGTGCTTGTGATTTCTTCTGATATTGAAACACAGAGGCATCAGAAAGTAATAAACAGCCCCATTTCTTGATGCAAGTATTGATGATTTCAAGCTTTGATGATATTGAAAGGGCTTCTTATATATAGGTTTGTGTGCAAATAGTTGCTCACGTTTTATTTTCATCAACAGAGTTCCGTGACCAAATCTCTAGTGGCAAGGCTTCTTTTGCCGAGCTTGCCTCTACAGAAAGTGACTGCAGTTCAGCTAAGCGTGGTGGAGACTTGGGACTCTTTGGTCGTAATGCCATGCAGAAGCCCTTTGAAGAAGCAGCATTCGCCCTCAAAGTGGGGGAGCTCAGTAACATTGTTGAAACTGACTCAGGCGTTCACATCATCATGAGAACGGCTTAGTGCGATTACTTTTTCTGCTATTCCTGAGTGGCCCGTCTGGAATTTGGAAGCTAGACGTTTAACTTTAATGAATGTTAAATGTTACCAGAGTAGATTATCAACGTCGTATTTGGATTTATTTATCACTCAATTATATTGGAAAATTTGTGAACTAACAATGCGATCTCAAAATTTTGTGGAATAGCCTTCATTCGCAAGAATGAAACCTGATGCAAAAAACGCACTGCTTGTCTATTGTACTTTTTTGTGTAGCCATGGATCTGTGATTCGTTTCAGTGGTAAGGCTCATCATATCTCATTTATTATACGTATTGTGGTTGTCATTAAGTTAGATTTCTTGGTACTAATTAATCCTATCAAACTTAGTTGCATGACGTACTTAACAAAAATTAGTGTTATCTGCTGCCGTGTAACTTAATTAAGTGAAAGCCGATGCACGTTGATTTAGTCTCAAAGCACTGAAAGGTAAGAAACTGTTAATAAATGCACGTCATGTTGCAGTACAGCAGTACATCATGCAGTATTCATCTCTCAAGATATTCGAGTATAAATATTAAACGAATTACCATCTATATTTGCTCTCAGCAGGAAAATCATTTCGTTCGTTATGAAGTCAAACGTATAAAGGCCAAGTATTTGAACCTTGCACGCCAATGACAATTTTTTTGTGGCCACAACCAAAAAGTAGCGTTGATTTCGCGCGTTTTGAAATCTCAACTTTTTATTATTACTTTCGGTGTTCTAGGGAAGTGACCATATAATCATAACGCAGTTACGTACAATTACATCAGCAGCATTCCTTCACTTTTCAGTAGAGTTCGCCAATCGTATTACTGATTCTAAAACGAGTCTTCAAAGGACTACTGCTTTTCTAGGCCCGGACCGGACATCTCTCTGAATCCATCTTGGTCTTAACTTGTTCTTCGTATCCCTCTGCCTTCACATCTCCCTCAGCCCTCACATCTTCTTCATACCCATTAATAAGTGGCACCGCTTAGGAGTCGCGAATGAAGATTGCGATTTTAATTTGTTAAAAAAAAATTTGAATTGAATTTCGATTCGAGATTTAATTTTGTCGTAACTACAGTCTACATGTTAAGTGAGCTAGATAATTAAATCTTACTGAGGAGTTCACGCTACTATAAGATCAAAGAAATATTTTGCAACCTGAACATTATTGCGTGAGAGGCTTCTAATATTGCGCGATCGCCGAATTGTGCCAAACATTCATCGTTGCAACATGTCTACAATTGTATTTACAAATGCAAATAACGTTCGGCCAAAACAAATTGGTAATTGATTCTTTTTTCGGGCTCAACGTATCACTTTTAACGTTTTCTTCTCAAATGTAAGCTACGATCAGCCGTTTCACAGGATATATTAAGCTTGAAGTTGGTAGACCTTCAAATAGTTCTTCAACTTGTTGGGCATTTGGTGTAAACAAATAGTCACGATGCATGAAAATAACAGTATTGAATGTGATTGGTGTCACTTGTTCTTTGACCTCTCGTCACATCATGCTTATACCTCGCAAAGCCTACACATAACATCAATAAGAATCAAATACTTCATATATTGCCGACGATATTCTAACATTGAAATAAAATATTTGCAATTCTCTGCCTTAGAAAACTTTTAATATAACTTTTTTTCAAAACATAAATATAATTACTAGTATATAGGAATAAAATATGTCACGTAAGCAATAGAGGAAGATAACACTTTTGCATGAAAACTATACACCATTTACGCGATGAACAGTCAACCGGGACACCACTACGCGACGAGCTCAGTGGTGTTGCGACAAAAGATGTGACCAGATCGAAATTTACTCATTCCGGGAGTAAAGACGGAATTGTAAAAACCGCAAGAAAAAAAAGGCACATATTGCTACTAGAAAGAAGCAGCAATATTTACCATTGCCATTTATTTAGCTTGTTTTGGCAACTCAATATGGCGGCACGCATGCCCTGTCATTCTTCAACGCGCTGCGGGCCAAGTTCCACGCCATGAACGAGTGATTCTGTGCCAAATAAATACTTTAACCCCAGGAAAATTGAAATAACCACCAGATTAGTATTAACCAGTGTCGTGATGCTGTTAAAAAATCATATGAGAAATATATGCGTAAACATGGTCGTCCTTCACACTGAATATTTAGAACTTGGCACTTGGTGTGAGATATTAACATTACGGCCATTGAAGAACAAATAATCTAAAAAATGAACAGAGATCGGAAATACCGGCGATGAAGCAGCCCAGAGTTGATCAACTTGTTCACATGCCTAAAAAAGACCATAGAAACTAGTGTTGTTCGGGTTTTGCGTTGGAATTTTGAACTTGAATCAGATTGTAAGTCCAGTTCAAACACATAAAATGAAATGCACATAAATAAAATGAGTGAAAACTAGTTGATAACCAAACCACGAAGAAATACCGTATCCAGTAATAACAAATAAAATGAAATAAATAAAACTAAAATGAATGAAAACTCAACTGATGACAGAATCACGGATAAGTTAGTTAGTTAGTGGCCACATGTTTACTAGCGCTTCAGCTATTTAGATCTCGCACCGAAAGTCATGTTGAACATCACCAAAGAGGTGGAAGGCCTCAATTATCAAAGGTTTCTCAAATCAAAAATAGGTCATCACCCACAAAGGGTGGAAGGTCTCAGATGTCCAGCCCGCTGAAACTGGCTCGAAAGAAACAGCGTTAGCATCTCAAAGACGAAGTGACAAGGAGGGACATGTGAAAAGTAACAGAAACGAAGACACTCGAACAAGAGGTCGCTTACACGGGACGTCGGCCACCCGCGCGAGAGAGACAGAGAAGGGAAATATAAGGAATCCTGCCTACATAATAACTTTTAACCCCACAACTGAGATCTGCAGTCAGACACCGTGAACTCAGCGGTGGGGCGCTCAGGAACGAATCACGGATAAAATCAATGGCACTGGGCCGAAACAAATGCTCCGTGACAGTGAGCATCATAGAGCGTTTTTGATTTAGAACGGAAACAATTGTTCGTGCGCAAAATTTAAAGATGCACGCTACTATACGTTTGAAATTACAACAAATTAAAGTATTTGTTGCAATAAAAGCTGATCTGACCAAACTGTCTTAATTTAAGGACAAAATACGCCTATATGATTATCGTACATTAACACGTCAATAATATCTTCGAGGCAAAATTTGCTCTTATCCATAATAAGCCATTTCTGAACATGTCATACCATATACCTACATCCGTAATTCTTCTATAGGTATAGGTATTCTTCTTCACATCCGTAAATTTCACCTAAATCTCCAATGGCTGGTGTGATGCTGCATCGTTCACACGTGATATTCTTTTTATTTATAGAAAACTGAGGTTTACAGGTTTTCATGTCAGTTATTAGTGAGCCAAGAAAACAATAATAAAAAATAAAAACAGTTCAATAGCGTAGCACGACTACCGTACATGCGTACATTTCACAGCACACGTTGGAATGATTTTCGTCCACTTGTTGCGTGAACGCTCAATTTTATGCTTAACTTGTGAAAAATTGGTCGTTACATATCTCGAGAGTGAAAGGAATCTTACATGAATGATCCATTCAAGATTTACGTCACACTTCACAAAAAGTAGGAAATAATTCTGATTGGGAGTGCAAAACTTCTGGGAAGATTCTTAGATAGGTAATTTTAGTCCACAAGCTGGCAGAAATATCTAATTATATCGTGCAATTAAAAGACTCAAGATCAAGCACAACATTACAGTATTCGCCAGTTAATTCTTCGACCTAGCTGAGACAAAAGATTATGTAAAATATTGCATCATCAATATAAGCTTTGAGAGGCTGGAATAAATTAGCATATTCTCACGCTGCATGATTACGAGAGACCAGAAGTATTTCGGCATCATTATCGGAAGAGCTGATTTTTCAAAAGGCACACCACACAGACGAGTGTAGGTAGAGGCTTGCACCGCTCTCTCTTCCTGCCAGTGTTGTTCGCAGGAAACGAAGCCGCGATTTCATTTGAGGAAGTCAGACAGTCGCTATGAAAAACATGGCCGCACCTGAAGGCTACAAGTCCACCTAAATTTTTGGCTTGCTTGCCGATCACGGATTTCTCGCATCGGGGACACGACGTTTGCTCGTCGATGCTTATGGCTCGAGTAGCCAAACGTCGCCTTCGTTCATTGAGATGAACGATGTCCCTTTTACAGAGTCGTTCACAGCCGCTGTGGAGTGCCAATTTTTTCCTCGTGTCTTCCATGATCTTGGAAATGGAAGCCATTAGGCCAGGAACCTCCAAGCCTGGTGGAATCTTACGCAAGATTTCTACCTCGCCAACGTATTTGCCAGCCTCTTCTAGAAGAGGTCGGATGTTGTCCGAGTACGAGATAGTGTGATCGATAAGAGTGTCCCACAAATGACGGTCGTTATGATGCTTGCAAAGATCGATGGCCCAGTTCAAATCCCTGGCCTCTAGTAGAACAAGAGACAGCGCGTCCTGAGTGTTGCCAGTTCGATTGAGAAGGTAGACGGTGTGGTGAAGCAAGCCTCGGTCCTTGCACACTCGTAGAGCAGCGCTTAAGTTATAGCTGTTGGACGCTTTCAGGAACTGGAGTAGCTTTTCGGACTGTTGGTTGTCAGCCATGAGTTGTACGAGATCATCATGATATGGTTTGCACAAGTCTTCATGCTTCTTATGGAGAGCCGTAAGATATTTATAAAGAAGATTGGGTGTAGATGAAAGGGCAGGCACCATCTCCGTGGGCGGCGCATCACTGATGTGAGTCATGCATAGCTCCGTGGTGAGGTCGGCATCCAGCGTCATGAGGTGCACAGCGTATGTGCCAATGGTGGAATAAAGCCCGTGCTTTTTTATCAGGCCAAAGATGTCTTTATGTTCAAGCTTAATGTATATGGCGAGGGCTTTATCGTGCCTTTGTTGGTGGGAATACAGGTGAGCAAGAGACTGCAATAGGGGAACACTCCAGTTCTGAGTAGCAACTCTCTGTAGCACGGCACTGACGAGCCAGTTGACGTCGTAGCAAGAACTTGGCCACTTCTGCAATGCGGCCACCAGTCCCTCCCTGTTGTGGTCCAGTAAATCCATGAGCACTTCGTTGTAAGTCGTTACGGGAAGTGGAGGAGGAGAACCGTGAGGTAAATACTCATGTAAGATGCGTAATTCCCCAGCATCCGCAAAAGCCCTTACCAACTCCAGCCACTCACCTACGTTATCTCTGATGACTCTTTGAGAAATTCGGGCCGCATCGTCGTACATGTGGCACTCAAGCAAGTGGTTCAGATACTGGCGACCAACGCTTGCTTCAGTGTGGTCGCCGATGGTGCCACCTTCTCTCTCTATCAAGTGGAGTGCTTGTGGGTATTTGTGATGCTCTATAAGCCACTCCAAGGAGTCACTTGGTTCTCGAGGCTTAGCTACCACCAAATCCCGAGGCGATAGCACGTACCAACGATCACCCCCTGCAACACATTCGAGTTTGTAGTGCAATGGAAGATACTCCTTGTACCTGTTGGTACCTAGGATGTCTTTCGATATTTCATCGTAAGATCTTTGTTGAGGTTCTAATAAACGTAACTGAGGTCTCCTCCATTCATGAGGATCGTCAGTAAATTGCTGAGGACCTTTGGTGTCAGTGGGAGATGCCCTCGAAGATTCAAGCGTCGGAGTTTTACTGTAGGTCAGAGTGATGATGAGATCCTCCAGCATGCCGATGCCACAAATGTAAAATGGAGTTGTGAACATGCTTTCTATCTCAACATAGAGAGGAGGCAAATCAAAAGAAGGAGTGCTGGGAGGTGTTATCCTGCCATTACCACCTGTGATGGCAATTATGCTGGAACTCAAGTAGCTGGAAATACCTTCAGGAGTACTAGGCAGAGCCTCAGTAGGAAACTGAGGGCTGCGCAAAGCCGAACCAGTGGCCAATGCTCCCGGTCTGGGAGTCAACACACTGGAGCTATATTTTCTGCTCCCGCTATCATAAGGAGAAAATGAAGCAATTTGAGCGCTATCAGTTTCTGAGACGCTGCACAATAGCTTGTTGGCGAGTGGAGACTCTGAGTGCCGCGAGCTTGTGCCAATATTTGGGGACGAAGTTCGGGAACTGCGGCAGGACGAGGTCCCTTGCGGCCGTGGTTTGATGCAACAAACTTTGATAGAGTCTGCCCAGCCAATGAGGAGGCGGTCCTGTGACTGCCATTTTAGTTGTGGGGGGAACTGAACGCTGTCCAGGCTAGGGAAAAAAAATTCATTGTCATTTTAGTACGTATATAATGGCAAGTAGTAAGCTAGGAAATGACCACAAGAATTTGTCATTGCCATCTTTATAAGTGAAGACAAAATGTTTTACAGCAGTAAAATAAAATTTAAAGGCTTCACTGCGAGGGTTATGGTACTCACGCAGCACTGTGGTCTCTGGGAATAAGAGCAATGGTAGTGCGCAGGATCATGTGGTAGACTCTGACGCCCGTGTCTGTTGCCCATGCCAACACGTTACCCGTCCATGCCCCACCACGGACCGCACCGCCCCGTACGCCCACACTCGCCCCAACACTGCCACCGGCGCTGTCGCTTAGGGCTTGGCAGCGGTAGCCCTTGAATCGGGCGCGTTCATAGAGAGCGATGCCACCGCTGTGACCTGATCATTGTGCAGGAAAATTTAGATGGTGATTTGTACTCATATTAGGGTAAAGTACCGAGTGCATAGTAGTACAGAGTACTACATAGTTATACAAAGTACAGAGTACATAGTAATACACAATACAGAGTACATAGTAATACAAAGTACAGAGTGCATAGTAATACAAAGTACAGAGTACATAGTAATACAAAGTACAGAGACGAGCGTGATGGCAATGCATCAAATATCAGTTAGTGAATAGAGTTGCTATGCAATGCAAGCTAATGAACTATGTTCTAGTAAACATAAATATTAATGAAATAGAAATATAACGAGTTTTTTTCACTTGATAGAGAGCTGTGTCATAATGGTGGGTGTGGGTGTTGTTTTGGGAATATTGTTTCTCTATTTTTAATAAGAATAATAAACTATTTCAAAGTAATAAACAGTTCAAACGCCAGTAAAATACATTGAAAGCCTTATCAGGTGATATGGTCTGCAGTAGAGAAGCATAAAAATTGGACAATTCCAGCTTCAGGCAAGAAATACATAATATGGAGGGTGCACTTCCTGCAACACCCCTCACTTAATATTAATATTTATAAACTAAGATTAGTTGGGTAAATAGCAGTGATACACGAGGATTAATGAGGTACAGCATTATGGTTCATAGAGTACTTATTTGAAGACTATATGCGGCTTACAAATTATGGGAATAAAGGCTTATATGTCGGAGCCTAAACACTAACAGTACTGTTATCGGCTCATCTATCATTCTCTACTCCCAAATCTAGTTGACTTTTACTATCTTTCCATTTCAACATGGATAGAAGTAAGGGCTTACACACGACTCTTTTCGCGTAAGACTGCAGTTCCTGGTTGGGTATAGCGTTATATATCTGATTCTTAGCTGATGTAACAAGGACGTGAGTCGCTACTGGGTAAGTAGGAAGAGGGTATAGATAAGAAGATTTCACAGACATATTCTAACCAAGGAAGTTAATAATGAGGAAATATCCAAAGTCAAATGACATTAACAATCATAACCTGACAAATGTATCGTCATCAATAAGTGATTAAAGAGGCAGTACCTCACTTCATGCAGTTAGTTCTTCTAGAAGTAAATAAAATTAAACTAAAAGATAGCATAACTTGTAACTAACCAACAGCAAAGCGAGTATTGGCTCTGGAGTTGCCAAAGGCAGGGTCAAGAATAACGCAATGAACAGCATTGGGATCCAGTGAGATGGTCTCATTGTGTTCAGTAGACAGCATTCCCTGCACCTCCACCTGAGAACAACAGACATCTTGAACCAATAATTTGGCCAAAAATAAATTTATTCGCACAGAAGCATGGTAGATGCACAAAGAATTGAATAAACACAGAACATTTGTCACATAATAAGAATTTGTACAATTTGCAATGGAATTAAAATCCAAATTCTTATGGCAAAGAATGAATATAAAATATTCTGTGACAAAAAAAAAACTTCTTTTCAGGCCCTGAGCTTGTAAATATGAAAGCAATTGATGTATTACAGAAAAAAAGACAATTGAAGTAAACAAATTGTAGTAACATATAACCATGGTTAAACTATACAAGGTTGACCTACGAGGAGTTCCGCCTTTCAGTTCAGCTTTCTTGTTGCGTCACTGAGATCAAGAAACATAAACAATCCTGTCATTCCCATGACGGATTGGTTGATTGGATTGAATGCATTTCGGTGACTGGTTAATGCCCGTGGCGTCACTGAGATCAGTGAGGTCACATGCAAACAACAAGCTTCATCCGCGAAAATGAGCTTCTCATGGGTCAACCTTATACTAGTTCAACCATGCATATAACAGCATGCCTGTATCCTCCTGTTTTTTTGCATTCACATTGAATTCAAGTCTATCAAAGCATGAGATTTCAATTTAAATTGTACAAAATCCTTCAAGGAGAAAAAGCCATATCATGCATAATTTTTTTTTCACAATTAGCAGCTAGTCAAATGGAAAGCTCACCCTCTTGTCTTTGGCGACGCTGGCCCAGTAGTCTCCAGCAAGAGCCACGTCTACAACCTGGGCAATGTGGGGTCTTCTGTGTTGTATTTTGTAGCCCAGGTGATCCAGCACAATGACACAGCCTCCCATTGTGCCCAGTACAATCACCTGAAAAATAAAGATTTAAACTAAAGTAAAAAATTAATTCTTACTGGTTATTGTTTCATTGATACAAAATTATATTGATGTTAGCACTGTTCATGTGGTTTTGTGCAACCCCATACAAACCTATCATGACTTGAGTAAATTAAATGGTTAGTTAAATGAAGAGGTGCTCTGTGCAATTAAAAATGGAAAAATTATGTTTACCTTGCAAAAATGAAGGTGGTTGAATTTTTGCTGAAAAGTCATGTATACTATTTTTTATGTCAAAAAGCTATCAGAAACCAATATGCATATGGTATGTTTATACCACAACTGTACTTAATTACAAGTGCATGATTTTCAAACAGAAAAAAAAATCAACAGCAAGTAATTTGCAACCTATGTCAGATCAGCATAAAACACTGAAAAGCAAAATATGCCCATACAAAAATCTTGTAAAAATCCAAGAGGCAGGCAATGCTCTTTCAATTACAATCTCTAATTCATCAACAGCTGGCAAAATTTGGGTAATTTCGGTTTTGCTTGAAGATCATTTACAGTAGGTATTTCTTGGTCTAGACTTAAGTCAAGGAACACATATTAGAGACACACTTGGCAACTTACACTGAATTATTAATGCAAGAGAATAGCCAAACCCAAACTAGCAGCATAGCCAAAGGAATCTATTAGTGAAATCTATTAACACGTTGACTACAAAGTGGTACATATGCATACCACAAAATGTAATTCTCCAGGACGTACTAGTGGTACATAATTCATGTTGCCTAAAATTGGCAAAATCTGAGAACAAAAAAGGCCGATAACTCAAAATATACTAGTTTATTTGTAGGTTGCACTATAAAAATTCCATTCATTTTCTTTTTGCAGTATTTAAAATTTAATTAGGAAGTACCTCTATAATAAATTTTAGCCGACCAACGCAATTGAGAAAAACTAAATCACGGAATTTGTACGGAAAAATGACCCTCTGGCAACCCTGTTTAAAAACAGTACAAGAAATGAAATAATAGTACAAGATGAAGCAATCGTAGTCAATGTGTTAAAAATGTAGAATGTGTGCGTATGTGAACAATTTTTCCCTCAAGTCAAAACAGATCTTGCTCATCAATCAATGGTTTGAAAAAATACAAATCAATAACATCTTCCTTCATAATTTCCAAATAAATAGCCAGAATCTTGCTTTGATAATAATTTGAGAATGAATATGTGAATAAGAATTTGATCCAGATATTGACTAATTAAATTAGCCTGGCCAAAACTACCAGAGTGAAATATTTCTACTGGACATGTAATGTCAAATAAATTTTGTACTTGTACTTTCCTCTATTTTGAGTTCTGACCTTGTCATCAGATACAATGGATGTCAGGCTATCCCTTTCCAGCAGTGATGGCAGGTCTCCTCTAACACGTTCATATTTCAATCTGGGCTCTTCCTCTTCTTCATCTGATCCCTCTGAAGATTCATCTTCTGAACTGGAATTACTTTGGAAAGAAGCAGTATTTTCTGCTTGGTTCACAGCAGTAGTTATACCAGTTTGGGATTCAGTCACACTATCAGCATCAATTGTAGCGGTTTCTAAATCCATTTAAATCACCTTTGTATAATATCTTAGCTCTAAGGAATTGATCAATCAGTACAATCTTTCAAGATGAGGAGACTAGAATAGAAAAAATCTGTAGGTTAAAATAGTACCAGTATATTTAAAATTCATTCTGACAACTTGTTAATTTCTTTGCAAAGAATGTCAGTACTCAGAATAACATATTAGACATATTAGCAGTAAGTAATAAGTGAGCCATCTATATACCGTACCTACAGGAAGAAGCTGGTTTCTGTGAACTTATAAGGTGATAGTAGTTCATTTTTGTTGGCACACAACTTTGCACACATGAGAGAAAGATAGTCAAGTGGACACTGACTTTAACATGGAAAAATTTCTGTTAACAAAGTCTACTAAAAAAATTTCCTCTTGCTTGAAAACAGTATAAATACCGTAAAATGGGGTAACTTAGACCGGCGGGGTAACTTAGACCACTTTTAGTTTTTTTAACAAAAACCCCCACAACTCAAAAACTATTTGACATAGAAAAATTTTGTCAATGGGCATCAAAGGCCTAATACTGAGGCTACATAACACAATAGAAAGATTTAAAAAGCCAGTCAATATTACCCCATCAGGGCTGCCATTAGGTAGTCACATTTCCCTCATTATGGGGCGGCGCCCCCCATTTGCAAACTATGACACTTTCCTCAAGTTTGTCATTTGCATATGCAACTAGAAGAGTTCTACTACAATGCACCAAAACCTGGAGTTATTTTGAGTTATTTTACACAAAAAAATAATAATTGATTTTACCACCCGGTCTAAGTTACCCCAAGAGCTGGGGTAACAAAGACCATCACTTTTTTTGAAATTACATAAAGACTATGAGAGGCAGGAGCCAGCAATTTATGGTGAGTGAAAATGTGAAGCTAGAGTATAGACCTGTATTTTGCATGTTTCAATTAAAGTTTAATTTAGCTAGTAAAAAAAGTGGCATCATTTATAAAAAAAAGTGGTCTAAGTTACCCCATTTTACGGTACCTATTTCTGGATTGCCAACATAATTTTTCACCACAGGATGCATTGAAAATTTATTTTACTTTTTTTTTTGTTAAAATAATCTTAGTGCTATTTAGTTTATTTCAAAAATGCCACAAATCATACCTGTTTCCTGTTACTTTTTAACAAAATAACCAGGCACGGCAGTTAGCACACAAACACCATAAAAACTTTATTAACAAGTAAATATTTCCTTAAAATGGTCATACTTGTTAGGAACATTACTGAAAGACACACAGATCATAACAAGCATGACAGGCACTCGAGCTAATATAGGTTATAGGAGTGATATATACATACATTTTTGTTGATCTGAAATGACCAGGATCAGGTCTGGGTTTGAATGCAAATAACTTACAACTATTGCCACTTTAAAATCTGTTAGAAGGACAGATGTCAGAAGGTAATGCCTCAAAAGAGTAATGCCTCATACATACAGCTACAGGGGTTGGACAAAATAAGGGAAACACCTGACATATTGATATTGAAATTTTGAACAACAATAAAATGTGCCATATTTTATGTTTTATTTGTTGTTGCTGCTAATTGATATTTTATCATTGTACTGATATTTATAGTAAATTTTTATGTCTATAGCCTATAAGAGGCAAACCTCTCTGACTTTCAGTGGCCAAGTTTTTGGTGCCTGTTTCATACTATAAGTAGACCAGGACCTATACTCTCAAAAAAAGTTAAGAGATGGTAAGTTCATCAGCTAATCATTGACGGCCTTTCAAGCAAAATCCACCAATCATAGACAAGAAAAAAGAGCGTCAGTATATACATTCACTTAGCAAATTTTGAAAGTATGGTCCCAGTAAAGTATCATGGATACCAGCATAACCATACTTAAGAAATTGGTTTAAATCTTGAGTTATTGAGGAAATTAAAAATGAACTGATTCCAAAAAAGCTCTGGTTTGTCACTATGCAGTACAGGTAACAGGTCCACACTCTACAGACTACAGAGTACCTACAGACTATTTTTTTTTAATAGTTGGGGTTAAGACTTGAGACTGAGTTGTGGCGACAAATGCGCCCACCAGCGACCAGCCTGTTCTCTGTCAGAATCCTACAGACTAGTGAGAGTCTGTGAGCAGTGAGACTACAGTGCAGCTACAGCTACAGCAGCGCACCAAAAAAAAAAAAAAAAAAAAAAAAAAAAAAAAAAAAAAAAAAAAAAAAACACCAAGACCAGTGACAGGCTTGAAACTTGAAATTCGTCTTGAGTAGATTAGATGCTAGATGGTTCACAGTTGTAACTGACTGTATCAGTGTACCTATCTGTTGGTACAAACTTTATGAACCTTCACCATGAGTCTAAAAAATGAATGAACCTTTAGGAGGAGTCTAAAAAACACTTTGGGGATATAGGAGTCCAGTCCAGCTGCCAAAGATAAGCGGCATTACCTAACAAGGTGGTACCTAGCCTATCATGGTAACAATGATATCTCGCAGTAAAAGTAATAAGATTATATAAATACCAAGTTGAATATAGGAAGAAATCAAATGCAATTAAATAAAAAATTAATTCACCAAAACTCAGCCCCTAGACACAACAAATACCTATGGAATTGAAAGAATTATAGACCGCATATCACATATGCCGTTTGCGTCACACTGATTGAATTCCTTGACTTGTAAAGAGGTTACAGGATAAACAACTTCTAATGGGACTATGGGAGTTATGGGACATCTAAATCATTTTTATGTGATACTGTGAAGTGACAGTTTCGTTCGAGCTACCGTAGGGTATGTGTGCGATGATTTGGTGTGCTGCTGTTGATTGTTGAAGTCGTCGTACGGGTTTGACATTTATTGAAGTTGAAAATACATTCAGTTAATACAAGATAAAAAAGATTGATGATATATTTATTTTATATTGTTTCTTAGTTGCTTGAAGGTGAAACATTTAAAAGATAATTTCAAGTGTCCTCCTAGTATGGGCTATGTATGGGAAATTTTTTTCCGAAAATAACCGTAACCGAGTGTAACTTATTCAAAAATTGCTCAAATCTAAAGTTGAAATTGTCTAATTATACGCAAATATTTTTTACAGTAGCAGAAATTTATATCAATGGATATTCTGTAAAAAACAATGACTTTGAATACGGTGCAAATAAGCATTAGGCGTGCAGAAGTAAATTTGGTTAGGTACCACAAGCCATTGCAAATAACAGACGTATTTATTAATTACAATGAAAAATTATTCGGGTGCAAGCAAAATCCAACCCACAAAAAAATTTCCGATATTCTTTGGAAAGAAAAATGCAACAACAACCCGCGTCTGTTCGATAAAGAGAAGTTTCGATTTGCGGGGAGTAAGGGAGTTGACAGTAAAATTGAGATAGATCTTGGACTAACATCTTATAAAGAACTTTGCGTAACCAATTTTCAACCAAATGTAACAAAGCTTATGCAAGAAGGAATCCAAGATTTTAATGACAATCATGCTTACCTTTCACAAGCGCTTGGTAAGTACCTACTACCTAGTAGTAGTAGCTGTGACTGATCACTGAATTATCATTACTTTCTTATGGTTGAAATTCGTTTCCTTGCAGTTAAAAATTCATTGAATTAAAAAATGGGAGCTTCTATAAATTCTGAACATTTGCATACAAAATTCAAACACAAATATGTTATACTTTTTCAGATAATAGTTTATGGGACCGGCAATATATTCCATTAAAATAGGCACACATTAATCATTTGAAATTTTTTAATATCTTAAAACAAACGGTTTGCCCAAATCTATCAATTGGTCGGCAGGGGTGGGAATTTTGCTGCTGAGCAGCGACGATCAGCTGCTCCTGCTGCGGCGGTCCATGTGGACCGGAGAAGCTGCTGGCAAATGGGACCGTCCCGGGGGCCATCCAGAGCCCTGCAATGTCCCAGAGCTCGCTTCGTCTCTTGAACATTCAAGCCCAAGCCAAACAGATGCTGGCGTTAACATGGAGGAACTCAGCCCTGAAAAATTACGTGTGAATGATTCAATATTGAAAGAGGTAAATTAATTCGACTCTGTCACTAACCCAGATCACATAACCGAGAATTTTAAAGAACTATCAGGACGATCGAAATCTTGTATTGAAGTGATGAATGAGAGCTATATGACTTATTTAAATTTCTTTATTTTGTAATGAGAGGTTCTTAACGCCTGTTAATGGATGTATTCATGTCTCCCCTAAGTGAGTGGAACACTTGTTCATGTTATCGCCATAGATGTTGCCATTCATGTTATATTCCCTTTCTGTGGCGATCACCCGTGCCATGCTATTTTGCATCATCGGTTTGCATACTATAGGGAGTGCCCCTCTAAAATGACATGCTCGATGACATGGTAAGTTGCTACAAGAAAGGAAATAAACTGTCACTTTTTAGGTCCATCGTACAAGTTTCTTTTCCTTGAAAATAGAGATAGTTGTGGCTTCATAGAAACGATCATAAGTGATAAGGTGCACTGCAGGAAATTAATAGGCTACGTACGCTGGCTGTATTCGCACAAACTGATAGAGCCACGGGAAACAGGAGAGCGATGCAATGCTTGCGTATGTCGCCCCACTGTCTTCGATCAGGCTTCGGTGGGTGATTATTATGAATTACGGAACCTTCTGGCGGTTACTGATGCCTATGCGAAGAATGCGAAATAAATTACAATTAAGAAGCCTTAAGTCAGATGTGCAGTCCTGTGACGATGTTCAGACGTGACTTACCGAACTTGTTGTATAGATACGTGGTGCATGAATGAACTAAAATATCGGTTAAAATTTTTACTTTAGCTAAGATAATGAGTTTCTTATGGGTTTTCCGATAATCATTTCTACTAAAGTGATCAGGTTTGAATTTAGTCGTCTGTATAGTGCTAACTTACGAACAACGTAGTTTTCAATAAACGAATGTTGCCTTGGTTTTTGCTTCTATTGGCGAGCTGAGTTTTTGCAAGCAATAGCATTAATATTGGGCGCAAGTTTTTTTACACAGGCAAGTTGGTGGCCTTGACTGGGTGTTTGGTTAAAACCTTAATCGACGTCTAATTCTTACTTGAAGGTGTACAAAAATTACTCTACCTTTCAATTGCAGTTGAAGCAATGAGATTTTTTTCTGTAGTACCAATCGAATTTACAGCACTCCGAAATGTACAATTTCAGTTACACTGTGATGCTGCAGCTTGCTTCTAATACATCGAATGAATTCCGAATTAGAGTGTACTGGGAGTGTGTACTCTTTTGGTGGAGAGCTTTGTACATACCCTCTACCACATCGTATCGTGTGAGATAGGCTACTCAGCAGTGACCAGCTGTGTGATCGTCTGATATTGGTTAATTTGTGCCGTGACACCTCCGATTTATGTTCATTTGTGCTGTATTATTCCATTTATAAGAACATTTGCAATATTCCTCTATATGTAGGATCATTTGTTCTGTATTCATATAGATGTTGGATCATTTCGACTGTATCCCTCACGTTACTGTATCACCTTTACGTGCCGCGTTTCTGCTGGTAAAAGTTTGCAGCTTTCTCACGTTCATGGAACATATCTCTTGTATTCCCCAGGTGTGGGGCTCAATCATCGGTGAGGCAGTGGATGAGGCCGGTATTCCTGCCACCGAACTCACGCCTCCCCAAGTATCGCTTCTCGGGCTGTGCTTACAGGCAGACCTCGGCGACAGACCAAGTCTTGAGTTTTACGTCAGGTCTAGTAATGTTTTGGCAGACCTCGGCGACAGACCAAGTCTCGAGTTTTACGTCAGGTCTAGTAATGTTTTGGCAGACCTCGGCGACAGACCAAGTCAGGAGTTTTTCGTCAGGTCTAGTAATGTTTTGATGCAAACCAACAAATGTCACTTCTAATCCTTAAAAATTAAATACTCTACGTCCTAAGTTCAGTATTGAATTACTCGGCATTAATAGATTTATTCTGGTTATGCCACGAATGTGCCATTCTAAGTCCGTTCATGCACACTTTTGTTTCTCTATCGCTATAATATTCTTATACTTTCATCAAGACTTTAAATAATATTCGTTGCAATTGCATTTATTCGGTTATATAGCCTCAATTTTAATGGTCACTTTATGACTACAAATGGCTTCACGGATTGACTAGTACATTTAAATTCTATATCAGGGCTATTGAATTATATATTAAAATTTTACGCTCACCTACACAAATTAATTTTAATTCTAACGCTATCACGAATTACATTTTCACCTGCACATAAAATGCAATTTATTCTGCAGCTCCACCACTTAATGACAGGTTATCTGTCGCTGCAGATAACATGAACGATATCTTATCGTGAATAAATTCCAGGTTTGACGGCATTCACACTGCACTTTCATTGAAAATTATTTTTCAAAACTTTTACGCCCATAATATTAGGTAGTTAATTGTCGGAATTTTTGAAACGTCAGATAGTTTCCAAAAATTTATTCATGTTACGTGTTCGTGAAGTACTCATCATCAGAAACCATCGTTACTAGTATCATCCATGCATTGAGTATCATTATAAACCATTGTACTGCGTGTGCGCGTGAAGTAATTTGTATTATAAAGCAATTCCAGGGTGTATTATAAAGCAATATAAAGCCAGGGTGGCCCAGTGGTTAAAGTTCAGAGTACTAGAATTGGCGCAGAGAGGCGCGGGTTCGATCCCAGCTCTGTGCGTCAGTTTCTGGTCAGAATCGGCAAGGAGGCCGGGCGGTTGAGCACAGCAGAATTGTAGCAGTGAGTTGCGTGTTCGAGACCGCAAAATGCTGTGAGTGTTCTGCAATGTTAAGAATCGGCGACAGGCTTACGGCTTACTAAATGCTGAAACCGCTATTATTATTATTATTAATTCATCATGTATGCGCGTGGATTACCCTCCATTATAGAACATCGTATTATGCTTGTATTAATCACAAATCATCAAGTATTCATCACTCATCATTGTATCGTGTGTGCGCTATGTACCCTTCATAGGAAACTATTTTTATTTTCATAGGACTCATCACAAACCATTGCATCATAAGAGCGTGTGATGCATTCCTCATCACAAACCATTGCATCATACCTGCGTGTGATGCATTCCTCATCACAAACCATTGCATCATGCCTGCGTGTGATGCATTCTCATCACAAACCATTGTACTATTATTACTTCTATTTAACACCACGTCTCACAGGCTGGGGCTGACATCAGCAGCACTACAGGAGGCCTACAGTCGTGGTCAGCAGGCTGAGGCTGACGAGTCCACGTCTCTGCTGATGCTGCCTCTGAGTGACGTGCGCCACGTCATCGCCATCGTCAGGCGCCGCTGTCAGTGGTCGTGGTCTCGTAGTCGAGGGTCGTAGTCTCGTAGTCGAGGGTCGTATTCTCGTAGTCGAGGGTCGTGGTCTCGTAGTCGAGGGTCGTAGTCTCGTAGTCGAGGGTCGTGGTCTCGTAGTCGAGGGTCGNTTAGTATAATATCACATTAATCATCAGTATAATATCACATTATTATACCGCTAACATCGGTCAGATCGCGTGTCAGCGTCAGGACTGGCCGGCGACTGCGCAGCGGCAGCGGCGGCGGCAGCGGACGTCATGAAGGATGCCGAGGATCTCAGGCTGCAGGAACTAGTCAAGGATTTCTCACCGGCTCTCACTGGCGCCCTACTGATGGCCGAGGATGTTTTGCTGCAGGAATAACTGAGCAATGAATGTCATGGAATGTACACTTACAAAAATGAATGGCTCATTTGAATAAATTGTGGAAACGAGGATTCATCAATTTACTAATGAGGCTTTTGTTGTCAAACAGCTGCTGTGTTTGGAGACAAAATTTCGAACTATATATAAGGTAATAGCCGTTCAGATGAGAATGTTTAGAGGACTCAACTGTGGCATATGCATTTAGACTTTGCATTCTTGCATGTGGCTTATACGTATTATTTAAGCTTTGCATTTAGTATTCCAAACTTTGCATTCAAAGTATAGCATTTGAACTTTGCATTCAAAGTATAGCATTTAAACTTTGAACTGATTAAGCGGACATGAACATAAGTGAACGGCTGAGCTTTAGAGGGACAATCGGATGAACGTTAAATGAACGAAAAAATTCCTTCCTCGAGACAATATAACTTTGGGAAACTCTTGTGTTATTTATGAGAGAAATATTATTCAGTAAAATTTTCCATCATGGTGTTTATTTTACTGATTCATCTTACGTCTTCAAAGTGAATACCGACGGTTGTATTTATTGTAAAGAATAAAAAATTATGAGACATGACCAACACTTTTAAGGTAAAAATTGTCCCTTCTTTCTTATGCGCCTTCAAAGTTTTTTAACTTGAATGGACGGAATGAGAGAAGTGGAGCTTTATATGAAGGTATTAAAACTCGAATGAAGTGAATTTGCTCGAGCTGCTGCTTGGTTTAAATCCTTTGAATCGGAAGCAGGAGCTTCTCCTGGCCAGCGCAAGCCAGCCAGGTGAATTTATTTGACATCCTATCAAATAAATGCAAACTGATTTGAATGAAACGATACCAATTTCTCTAATAAAAAGTTATTACAAGCTGAATAGTAGGGTCCACAATATCATCAAACGTTTAAATTTACGGATCTAGCTGCTTTGCTCTTATAATGTATGGTCATCGTAAATAAGAGGCTATAATAAATTGGTTAACTAATCAGTTAACCAATTAAATATATTCAGTTGGAAGACAAGGAAGGTTTTATTATTTGGGTTGATGGTAGTGAAGGGGAGCCGGTTATCCATAATAGAAACCGGCCGGAGCTACTAATCGCCACAACACCCTGAGCCTCAGTAACGGACAACCAACCTGCAGCATCCGGTCTTCTTAGCTCTCGCAGAGACCCGTCCTCCGTGAGAAGACGAGCTGATGCCTTCGCCCCCAGATCGTCTCACACCTCGAGGCCGCCACCTCAGACGAGACGCACGCTGGAACTCACACTCCATAGTGAAGATGAAGTGGACGTAAAAGTGAAGATGTGGCGTCGTTGGCAATCATAAGGAGTCTGACTTATTGGCTGTCTCTGAACCGTACTATAGGCGCTGGCGTTATCTTCAATCTTCAAATTTGGATATGAGGAAGGTTGCCCACACAGAATTACAAGAAATGTTGGGAATTGTAGCCGGCTAAATTAAACCATGAATAACTCAAACCCCAAAGATAATCTTCTTCGAACGGAAATTATCTTATGCAAGATAAGAATTTAACTCACGTGGATAAATAAACGGCAAGGTTTCGAAAAAAATATTTTATTTACACGCTTAGCATAACAATTTTTAAGAATAAATGACAACATAGTAAAAAAGTTTCTGTTATTAATTTTAAAGCATAAGAAGTTGGCTTGCCGTCAATAATAAATAACTTAGGCTCAACTGGATTATAATTAGTGGACGGTTAAAAATACAAATGATATTTTCACCTCAATCATATCCTAGAATCTGAATACTGACGATTAAATTACCGATTAAATAATAGCGAAAGAAACAAAAATTGTCACAAAATATACAGCGAAACAAACATGGGTTCGCGCACGTTTCCAATACATACGAGTAGCCTAAACCTGTTTTAGAAATACTTTATTTAAACACCGGACTTATTCTTATCATTGACCTCTGAACCATCTTTCTGTTTCTTGCTATGATAAAGTTTAGCGAACTGCTGCACTCCAGGCTCATTGTGCAGCTCATACCCCGGGATCACGCTCTTGCATTTGCGCAACCACGTTACGATGTTTGGGTGCCTGGATAGGTCGGGCTGGACGGCCTCCGCTGTGGAGATGGTGGCGACGAGAGCGAAGTCTGCTACAGTGATTTGGTCACCAGCTGCGTACGGCGTCTGGCCCAGCTGTCTGTTGATCACTGACAAGGATTCTCTTGCCTTAATGTAGGCGCACTTCGGGTGTTTTGGGTCCTGGTGAAGGTAGTGTGTGCAATTTGTGTAACTGTGTTCGTATATTATCATATAGAATCAGTGAAACAAATTGCAGGTATAGTTTGATTGAGATTTAAGTCCTTATCATAAGGTTAATTATGAATAAACAGACAATTAACATAACCTTATTAGACAGACAATTCAATTCGCTGCAACGAATCTTTAATTAAAATATTTGTAACCTATCCCTATCCGGCGACTCACAAGGCAGTTGATGAGGTTCTTGTACAAAGTGCCGCTGTCGAAGTACAGGATTTGGTCGACCTTGGCACGCGAGGCAGGATCCTTTGGGTACAGGGAGTCGTCCTTGCCGAACTTGTTGATGAGGTACGTGCAGATGACGTGGCTGAGCGAGTAATCATGAAGATATATTAAGAGATTTTCACATTCAATATTAATGAAGGAAATGAATGATGTTGCAGACGTAAACAGGATATTACGCGACTGGGTACCGCAATTAACATCGTAAATTTGCGTAACTATTATTCTTATTTTAGGCAATTATTTTAAGCGATAGAATTTTTTATATCCGAAACAAGATCTACAAGAGCTATCAATCTTTCTTCTAAGTGCACCAGCTCTTCGCACTCACCTTTCAAACAACACTAGTCCTTCGTGTTTCAGTAAAGGAACAGTCTTCAGAGGGTTGACCTCAATGAACTCCTGACGAAGATGTTCTTTATTGTGTACATCCAAAGGATGTAGGTTGAATGTGAGCCCCAAAGCCTCTCCAACCATGAGCACAGCCCGGCAACCGGGGATGGTGCTGCAGTAGTACAAGTCCAACGACATCGCGGCTACGGTCTGGAAATTAAATATATTGTTTAAAAAATCGTAGGGAGCCTTTGAACTATCATGGTTGAACTATATAAGATTGACCCACGAGGATTTCCGTCTTTCAGTTTAGCTTTCCTGTTACGTCACTGAGATCGAGAACTGTAAACAATCCCGTCATTTCCATGACGGATTGGTTGACTGGTTTGAACGCATTTCGGTGATTGGTTAATGCCCGAGACGTCACTGAGATCAGTGACGTCACCGACGAACAACAAGCTACATGCGCAAAAATGAGCTTCCCATGGGTCAACCTTATAGGGCAACATGGGGCAGCGCGCCCCCCTTTTTTTAAACTAAATTTTTGATGAAGTTCTAATTGATAAGAGCTGGTTCTTTATTTTGTTTAAAGGTACAACTAATGAGGAATGTATGATGTGAATTAGACGCCTATATGTTTATTCAATTTTTAATGAAACACTATTTTGTAAAAAGTGTCAAAATGGGCCCATTGCCACACCCCTGGGGTTACGGGCCCATGGGCTTGGGGCAAGGCGCCCACACTTGGTCCCTTTACCACAAATGCATATTTTTCGTTTAAAAATGAAAAAAACACTTTACAGCTAAAAATAAGAAAATGTAATAAAAAATATGACATTCACTCATTTATTAACAACTCAAAAAATCATATACTTAACTTGAAAAAATATACTCTTGGCTTAAAAAATCTATCACTGACGTGAGGAAAAATATTTTGTTGACATAAAAATATATATCCTTGACTTGAAAAATATATCTTTGCGATAAAAAATTCGTCCTAAACATGAAAAAATATATCCGTGACTAGAAAAAATATATTTAGTTGATCAGAAAAAAAACTTCATTCCAGTTTCGTCCATAATCCAGATATTATGTGCAGAGAATTCGTACTTAATAGTGATTTCAGCCAACACCATAAAAACTCATCAACTTTTGGCTCATTGGTGTTGGTTGAAATCAATTTTCTGCAAGGCAAGAGTCAATAACTCGTTAAGGGGTCATAAATACGCATATTTAGAAACTAAACCTGCTGCCTTGAGGCGGCAAATCAAAAAATCATGCAATATGAAGAGTAATTTGTAATTCAAAAAGCTAATCATAGTTTTAAAAGGTCATTGAGAGAAATCTAATGATGTATAACACGAGACTTCACCATGGGCGCTTTGCCCCGTGACACGCGTGGGCCCGTTGCCTCACTAGGTATCATTTCAATTTATGTATATCGTGTCAACATTTTATTTTAAAAGCTAATAGTCTAAACTTGATCTCAAAATTATCTCTATAAATATTACTTTGAAAATATAGTTCACACTAGTTTCAAAAGCTTCATCTACAGGTATCGAAAAATTTTTTATTTAGCAGCAAAAAAAATTTTATCTGGACTATAACAGTTATTCACAAATAAATTAATAACGCAAACACTTAGCGAAATGTAAATCCGTGCACTTCATCCCAGTGAAACTGTCGACCGGCGGTAGAGAACACGGACCAATATCTGCCATACTTAGCGAGAAACCCGCTATGGGCCCATGACCCGCAGTGGGCTCGCTGCCCCATGTTACCCTACTAGTTCAACCATGCTTATGTGTACGATCGAGCTTTTGTTAATCGCAAAAGTTTCTCTTATTCACGGATAGGTTCTCTAAACCTTGAGAAATTCATGTGAATCGTGCGGGCTTCTGTTGAGAGTGAAAGCTTTTGTTATTCACTGTTAGGTTTCTTAAACCGTGAGGAATTCTGGTGGATTGTGTGGGTAACATGAAATTTTTGGATCGTCTGTAAATCGTGAGGCATAGTGATAATTTGTTAGGACTTGATTTAGATGGAAATGAACATCTGTAAATGAATGGCGTGTTTCATCAGCAGTGGGTTTATAAGTTTTTCTAATACAATTATCAATTATTTGATACTGAAATTCGGCTCCATGTAACTAGAATAGTCGCCTAATCTTACGTGCGAAGATTTTGAAGCAAAATTCAAGTTGACGAATTGTTAACATCAAGAAAGTCCTTGGGCGACGGTAGAAAATTTTAATGCAAGTTTTTTCTTTCGGCATTTCTCAAGAACAGGTGATTAAATTCTAGCGATAAATTAAATTTGGGAACAAATTTAATTAATTTATTTTAAAACTTTAATGTTCGGCTTTTGGTTGATTTTTTTTTTATTTATGGTTTACTGGATTTAAAGGTCAATCTTCGGCTCGTGACGGCAGAAGTATTTTTAAATGCTTGCAAATTGATATGGCTCATTTCAGCTACTCAATAAAACTTCAATAATTAATCCACTGGCGCACATGAAGTCAGTATATGACTAGAAATTCATATTTGAATGTACGATGTTTTACAAAAATATGTATATTTGTGTATTCTTCAATATCCGTGGCTTGTTGGTCTAGGGGTATGATTCTCGCTTCGGGTGCGAGAGGTCCCGGGTTCAATTCCCGGACAAGCCCATCGCTTTTAAGAATAAGTGCGACCTTATCGCTAGGTCATGTATGCCGTTATCATGGCTACCGTAGGCACTACTACACATGCATAGCAAGCTCGTGTGTACGGGAAGGCGCGCTTCAATGTTAGGTTGGGGGACAGTGATCAGAGGTCAGCGAAGTCCACTATAGGCCGTAGAAAACATTGAGCGACGTCTGTGGGGTCACGAATGAGGAACTACTTCAAGAAAGTATAATTTACATAGCATGACTGTTTATAAATAAGTTACATGGTCCGCAAGTTTTTATTCTGCCTACCACTTTGGGAATAAGAAACTAAATCATAATGGAATATTGACTTAAATATGAACAGTAAACATTTTTCTATTACAAGCTTATATACAGTCACACTTCGCCCTGACCTTCACATTTGGAAGCCATTTTCATAGGATTTCACGAGGATTTTACAAATTCTGAACACAATCCTTGAAATGATTTTACTTCCTATGAAAGTTGTAATACAACATTTTAGGGAAGTCCAGAAAACAAGTGACAAGAAGTTCAAAACGAATTGTGCGTGAAGGAATAAAATTTAATCGTGGCCAGTGAGTAACAGAAATCGAGTAATTTAAATTCATGATAAAAAGGTTTTTGTTTAAGCATTTAAGACACACAATGTTTTATGGTTTTATGTTGTAAGGTGTGTACTTTTTAATGAAATGTACATATTAGGGCCATAAATCTTCTGCACAATGATCCAGCATTTTGTTATCATGCATCGTGGCATCCGGTTCGACCGGTTATCTTTCCTTCAATAAAAAAATATATAGTGGCAACTATTAAAGTTGCCACTATAGTCACCAAGCTTTTATCATCGCAAAGCTTAAAAATTCTCCATTAGCTGCCAGAAATATATAGGATCATTTCAACACATTACCCACTATTTCGGTTTGATTTCTAATTGAAAAATTTCAATCGCCATAATGACTTTTTCAGTCATCCAACTGGCAGGAAAAATAGGCTTTGTTGAAGATAGAAAATTCTTGTGATTATTTTGCTCTGTTTACATATTATATTAGGAATCTTCCCTCTCTGATCCTAGTTTTGATAGACTAAAGTCCTGTGGATCATGAAGCACTAATTCGAATCCTCGTTTACAGAATACCTTCATCCAACCGCCCCAACTTTTGTGAGTTTCCGAATGTTATCATTTTATCTATGAAAATTTTTGAGGAAGTAAATTATAACTGAAGTTAAGTTTCAATTTGTTTATTTCGTTCCGTTTCGTTATGAGTAATGCATGCACCTCTTTATGCATTTAATTATTCGCCCAGGTAATATATGTTCCGACACGAGGTGTATTGCGGAAACGCGCTCGAATAACTCTTATTTATTTAAAGCGCTATCATAGTATAGCTTCACAGTTACTTACACAGAAGCACATAAACATAATGAAAAACTTGTTTAACTATATTAAGGACAGGGGTCCATGCCTCCTAACATTTATGATCGCATTTAAGTTGAATATTTCTGGTTGGGTAAATTTATTTTTGACTTACATTCAGGCCACATTAGAGTGAATTTGTCGGCATATTAAAAATTAATATTTTTAATAAAGGAGCATACATTTATTTTAGGGCTTAGGAATATTTCAAGACGGCTGAAGGCACCCTAAAATAGGCCTAATGCCGCCACTACAATATAATATGTATATCTTTCGTGAAAACCAAGTATAATGTCTGTCGATTCAAACGAATAATAATGCTAACGAGAAATATAATATAATAATCCTCCAAAACGTGTTCCAGATTGCTTAACACAACGCGGAAAGAGGCAGCATTATAGGTAAACCATAAATAAATGCTAAAGTTTTAATCCACTTGCGTTGATTTGATGTTATAGCCATTCCATCTAATCAAACGTTTCTTAATATAAGGATGTAACGTCTCGAAAAACTCTCGTTTTAATTGTTTGATTCATCAATAACATCTGATGTTACATATGCATTGAAAATATTTTACTTGTCAGCGCGTACCTACAAAAATTATTGGAAGGGATTTGTATTTTATCAGATCGATAATTGGCACCTCATCTCTTCGTAATAAACTCACCAATATACGTTTCAAGATTTATTACATTAATTGTTTGCATGGCATGTTAGTGTAAACAGTATATATATACTATACACAAATCTGAAATTCTAACCTCATGGACTCACCAAATCGTATGTTGCTCCGGCTAAAGCTGTGAAGTTGTGTTATATGTATAGTTTAACCTCTTTGTTAAATGCACTCTCTATCTTCCTGAACTATAGTTCGTAAAAATATTCGATAATTCAATTAAAATTTGATAAAAACTCACTTGATATGTAAGAATTTCACTCGCACTTGACAACCTGTCAAAAGCAGCGTTACTCAAAGAATAAGCCAATACTGTAACCGCGCTCTTTATTATAGACGGTTATTCAGAGCGACCCACTTCTTATCTCTTGCATTCATGAACCGGAAATTTATGTTGGACGATTAGCAGGTTCAAATAAGTAAATTCCTTATCTTTTAAAGGGAATTTTCAGGGCTGTTAATGTTGAGCCGACACGTTTATGGCGGGTTTTTACCTTTTATTTGATCGAAAAATCGGTTTTCGCTTAATGATTTGATCGGTTTTCGCTTAATGATGACGGGGCCGTTTGAAATGTTCGTTATCCATTTTTATCTGAGACTGAGCATCAATCAATTTATTAGATTTATTTTCAAAGAATATGAAATGCTAATGTTTTTAAAATTGTACTGTGTTTTATAATGCGCACATAAGTGTAGGAATCACATTTTATTGCGAATCGTAACCTACAAAATTATTTAATTTTGATGTATTCAGGAATGTTAAGCTGCACGATTTTCTATTATAACTTCAAAACCGAATAATTAATTCCTTGCACACAAATCGTCCGAAGAATTTTTGCTTTGAAGTAATCATGCAAAGAATGTTATTAGCACTTCCGTGTTTTTGCTTTGTTGATTACAATGTTTAGAAGGAACTACCTTATTATTGAATTATGCAATAAAAATTGATAAATTTCTAATATGAATTTTAGCGTAAAATTTTTGAAAAATGACAACTAGCGAAAAAATAAATGTTATTACCGCAAATATTGATTAAAAATCATGCTATAAAATTAAATGATGACTGTAATATGCAAGGCCATGATGCTATTGTTTGAATGAAATTCTTAGTGGAATTTTGGCCGGCGATTAAAAGAATACGAAGGGTGCGCTGAAGATGCCATCCTGCCTACCGCGCAAATTATCGCTGTTGTTAAAGCCGCTGTCCTTCACCTTAGTTAATTGTTAGGACGCTCCAGCTGGTCAGCTACACTAAGAGGAATGTGTGAGACTTTGATTAAATGAATAGGACATTGATCAAGTGAATGGAACTTTGATGAAATCAATGAGACTTTGATCAAATGTATGGAACTTTGATCAAATGTGTGAGACTTTGATCAAATGAATATGAGACTTTGATCATATGAGTGAGACTTAAGTGAATGGAACTTTGATCAAATGAATGTGACTTTGATCAAATGAGTGGGACTTTGATCAAATGTGTGAGACTTTGATCAAATGAGTGAGACTTTGATCAAATGAGTGAGACTTTGATCAAATGAGTGGGACTTTGATCAAATGTGTGAGACTTTGATCAAATGAGTGAGACTTTGATCAAATGAGTGAGACTTTGATCAAATGAGTGAGACTTTGATCAAATGAGTGAGACTTTGATCAAATGAGTTAGACTTTGATCAAATGANGGTGACTTGCATCATACTCGCCGCAACATGATGATGACTTGCATCATACTCGCCGCAACATGATGGTGACTTGCATCATACTCGCAGCAACATGATGGTGATTTCCATCATAAAATAAAACTGATAAACGGGACTCGAAGACATTAAAAACAGCGATTGGCGAGACTATAATAAAAACAAATATTTTCAATCTAGCAGATATGTATGAAAATTAATGAACAGTTCATGATATACCAGTACTTTGAATATAAAGCAATAACAGGTAGATTACAATTTGATGATTTTGTGTCAATATTGTCTATCTCGTCCATATATTGTCTATCTCGTCAAATATTGCCTATCTCGTCAAAATATTGTCTATTGCTAGGGACGCATTCCAACAAAAATAAAACAAACCAATCTTCATCCCTGCATTGTTCAGCCAGGTGATCGTATAGGTCCTTGCCATTGGCCAAAGTGATAAACGAGTTCTGATTTATCTTTATTACAGATTAAAACCAAGCCTTGGTAAACACGTAAACACCGAAACCAGAACGAGATACTTTCGAGACTATTGCTGAATTCTTGAGCTATTCTTGAGGTTCTGAGATTTTGAGCTATTTCTAAGACTATTGCTGAGACTCCTGAAACACACAAATGGAACAAAATATTGTCTATCTCTTCGAAATATTGTTTATCCCGTTGAAATACCGTCTATCCCGTCGAAATATTGTCTATCCCGTTGAAATATTGTTTATCCCGTTGAAATACCGTCTATCCTGTTAAAATATTGTCTATCCCGTCAAAATATTGTCTATCCCGTTAAAATATTGTCTATCCCGTTGAAATATTGTCTATCCCGTTGAAATATTGTCTATCTCTTCCAAATATCCTTTGTCCCATCGAAATATTGTCTATTCGGCTAAAATATATAGTCTATAACGCCGAAATATTGACCATCCCGTGCTATATTGAACATTATGTGGCACTATTAATTAACATTTGTTTCGTGGCAATAGCAGTAACGTAACTTGTGAAGAAATGTATTAACATAAAGTGATAATAACGAGTACATAATGAACTCTAGGGTGACGCACTCATGCTTGTATCCTGCGGAAATGTCGAACACGTTGTACATGACACCAATAATAATTGAAGCCAAGAACAAATGCTTTTTATTTGCACTAATTTATTCAGCACTGAGATCCGGGACATAGTCTGAAAGTCAGTGAATTTCTACGGCGTATTGGCAAGTAATGATTAATTTATTTTTCTGATAAAGAAGGTATAATGAATGGCACCTTGATAAAGTCGATTAGAGACATTCATGAAGTGCCATTCATTTAGCTAGAGGCAAATTAAATTCAATTAATTATATCTGAATGTAAACAATCAAACCATTTATTATTTCAGATAATAAAACATTAGAAATTTTAAACTATGATTCTGCTAAACTGAATAAGTTTCTTTTCAACTTCGATCAATTCTAAAAAAATAGAGCCTTAAATAGAATTACCATGCGATCCTTTAACAATTTTTTCATTAATTCAAGGATTGGACCATAATAAATAAATTGTGTCCTGCATTCAATTTTATTATTTTTGCATTATAATAATCGCCGCCATACATGGCTAGCCAAAATAGACTAACAATTAGTATGGCTAGAACAAATTGAAACCGTTTACTTACGAAATTATTTCTGGTCTCATATAGCTTAGCGTCATCACATATGTAATGCATACTACGAATTGAGTTACTCAACGTGACGAATTACTGAACGTACAAAAATAGTATAAAATCATAGGTTGAAATCCGCTGACTGTCCCAATAGGATGTTATTATCGACCAGTGTTGTAGCTCTGTAAGACTGTCACCAGTCTAATTTTTATCAACCGCGTCATTACGATGAGACTCGATCCGCTATGAAAAACTTTTTAGTTTGAAAATTACGCATGTTGAAATTATTGTGCCACGATCATATAGAGAAGAAGAAGAGGAGACATAAAAATAGTTTGTGCAAAAAGTGCAGTCGCTCTCTGATCTCTAGTTGCGTGTCAAGGATCTCATTAAGATGAATTATGCTGTTATAAGAAGCACAATCTGGCCTTTTATGGACCCAATTGGCACTGATTGAGACATTCGAATAGCAGGCCGAGCTGTCGGGGGAATGGTGATGACTCTCAAGGTCTGCCAATTGGCTTACAAGTCCGCCAGTGGGACGGTGAAATTGGCAGTGCAGTCCTTCAGAGAAGTCTGCGCGGAGCAGTTGTCCGACGCTATCCTTCGGAGAAATCTGCGCGGAACAGTTGTCCGACGCTATCCTTCGGAGAAATCTGCGCCGAGCAGTTGTCCGACGCTATCCTTCAGTGAAGTCTGCACTGCGCATTTGGATCGACGAAAGTCTCGAGATAACGTTATTTTTCAATGAAAGTTAAAGAAGCAATACCAGTTTTTTTGGACGTGCTGTTTTTAATTACGTGCTAGTGTTATAACTGGGCCGGTGATACGCACCCTGTGAATTGTTATGCATGGAGTTACGGTTTAACTCGAACTTCCGTTGTTTTAGTTTCAGTGTTAGTTTAAGAGATGCAATAGTGCAGTTGTTGCAGTTTTAGTTGAAAATGGTCTACACAAGACAATTTAATTCACATGCATTCGTGTGGTACTAAAAATTAAAAGTTGAAGTTAAAGTTGAAACTGAAGTTGATTTCGGTTTTTCAATGAAAGTTACAATTGCGTTTATTTTTATGCTGGGAAGCCATGCGCTCTCAATTGCAACGCACACGGAGACAAGCGTTAAATTAGAATATTTGTTATCAGCCGCCTTGGAAAAACCAGACGTGTCCAGTAATTACAGAAGATAAACCAGTTTTAATCAAATCCCTGGCTTAGTTATTGTAGTCGACATATTTGTGTGCTTGATCGATAAAAACGGCGGTGTGCTTGACCGATATAAAACCGGAACGACCTATAAAACCGGCGGCCTTCCCATGATCATGATAAGCAGCACGAGCATTAATTATTATTAATTAATCAATCGAATGAAAATTTCTTCTATAGTCAACCTCAGATGTATTAAAGTATTAATGTCACTTATTTGCTTAAAACGCAAGTTGACTAAAAATTTAAAAGCAAAAAATAGTCCACAAAAATTCATATCTTTATAGAAAACGTTTCGGAGTCCAGCTCCATCGTCAGTTCGTAGATGGACTATTCTTTGCTTTTAAATTTTTAGTCAACCTCAGATGATGGCAGGCAATTATCGATCTTGTTCACCCGTTATTTTTTTATATCGATAAAAGATACATAAGTACGTGACACCAATATACGTTTTTTTTATGATAGGTCATATGTATATGCACGATTATTTTTTTCCTGTACATAAATCTGTTATTTGCCAAACAAATATCGAACACTTCCAAAAAGGAACATCAAAACTAGTTCTGTATTTGGGATATAACAAGATTGAATATTCACTAATACAAAACACAAAGTAAGACATGAAATCGCATTGAATTTTTAGATAACAATGCAAACACTCTGCATACGATCTGTTTACAAGGGAGCGAGTTCTAAACTAGCGCTGATAACATTGACACAGCGTGAACTATCACTTCTCTGCAACCTTCGTGATTGCAAGTTCTTCAATCTCCATGGTTTCATAGTAATCTCTAGCATTGCGCTACATGCAATCTACATCATTACATTGTAATCAGCATATTTGTGCTAAAATTGTCATAACTGCACTAAAATTCTTGCAGAATGTTTGCCATGCTGCTGCTCTGCAGTATCGGTCATGCACTAAGCCGAGGTTCTCAACAAGTTATTGCGATTGGTATTCGCCATCTTTGTTCGGCTATAATGCCGCTATATCAACCGGTAGTTATGACATGAGAATTTTTCATTCCCATTCTTGGCCTTCGAGGAATCTGCGTAGTCATTCTTATTAATGATGCTTGAACGATTTATGTTGAAATTTCAACACGCTTTTATTGGAATCTTGTGGAAGGTATTGTCAGTCAGTCAACTTTACTGTACGTCATGTACACGGAAAATACATTGTACGCAATGAATAACTCTCTCGTGCGTATTTTGTCTGTGGATAATATTGCCTTCCATGCTGTTGTTTCATAATAATATTTTCAAAGATATTGTTAATGTTAGCAATGCCTGAAAAAATTTAATTTCATCCCACTGTATTTATTGCAGGATAATTTGTGCATAGAGTATAACATATTACGATGAAAATCATAAATTTGAATGGTAGTTAGCTTATTTTAATTGAAGTTTAACAATGCTCGTACAAATAATGCAGTGCAATTAGTGTATAGTGCAAAATAATCGTTGAATTCAATTACGAACTGTGCACCGACATCATTTCATTACAGTAAGTGCACAGTACACAACAATCGTTGCACTGAAGAGAGCGCAGAGCACACTACAATCATTGCATTCAATTCATTAAATGGAGCACTACAATCATTACATTAAGTTAAGTGCAGAGAGTAAGCAAACACAGCGTAATTCAGCATTGCCCTTGGAAAAGTGCACGGCATCATTACCCTGAAGTAAGGGCACAGTGCACGGCGTCATTACCCTGAAGTAAGTGCACATTTCACTGCACTGACCTCAAGTAAGTGCACATTTCACTGCACTACCTTCAAGTAAGTGCACATTTCACTGCACTACCCTCAAGTAAGTGCACATTTCACTGCACTACCCTAAAGTAAGTGCACATTTCACTGTACTACCCTCAAGTAAGTGCACATTTCACTGCACTACCCTCAAGTAAGTGCACATTTCACTGCACTACCCTCAATTAAGAGCACATTTCACTGCACTACCCTCAGTTAAGAGCACTGCATAAGCCCCTGCCACTGCAGATGGCGCTGAGGCTACACAGCACACAAGCAAGCGTGGCGTGTCGCGCGGTGCTGCTGGTGGCAGCGCAGCTGGATGTCCCTCTGGAGGTGGTGCCTGTTGACCTCAGGGCGGGGGAGCAGCTAACCCCTCAGTTCCTCGCTATGAACCCCCAGCACTGCGTGCCCACATTGCAGGAGGGGGATTTTATTTTGTGGGAAAGGTGAATAAGTAATTATAACGTATTATTTTTCTTATTGACTTAATGTTTATTTTCTTAATGGTTCGTCGTAGGTTAGCCTAACACCTCAAGACGTTGGAATGAGAGCGCTGCTTGTAGAGTGATGTAATGCTGGAGAGATTTCAGAACTAATTGATTTAATGAATTATATGATACATTATTATTACCGTGAATGAATAAGACATTATTACTTTGAATGAATAATCATTATTTATTTGAATGAATTATTCTTGGTCCTTTGTTGAAGGTAAATTCTAAGTAAAGTTCATAATTATTCGTCTAGCTAGAAAATGATTTAATTTCATTGGGATTTCCATCCCCATATGCAGGAAGACAGCATCTTTTCTTGTTTTATGCCTCAAATGTAGATCAATTGGGTAAACACCCGAAATAAACTTTTCTTTTTGGACAAAATCACCAAATAAATCAGCTTTTCTGTAGCATGAAATTCGCTCACCTGGAGAACTGGTTTTCTAATTCATGTATATTTTTTTCAGCCAAATCACCATCGTAGAAATAATTTCATATAAAAAGTTTGAATCAAGCTTGGAATATTGTGAAAGTGAGCCTATCCCCACTTATACTGTAGAATCATCGTACTAATGCTTCCTCGAGTTTATTATTTATTATTGAAAGTGTGGCATTTTTGCAGCCGTGCGATCTGCACTTACTTGGCCAGCAAACAACAGAGCGCGCTCTACCCGCCCGACCTGCGGCAGCGAGCGACCATTGACCGGCTCTTAGACTTCGACCTCGGCACTCTGCACTACATCTTCGCTAAAACCTACGTGGGTCGAAATTTAAAATTTATAATAAATGTGAATCCTTGTTTATAGTTCAATTATGAGTATGCATATTCATGAGCTTTAAGTTGAAGTTACTCGTGCAAGGTAGCAACCATGATTGTTTTCGGCCTCGGTACATCGCACTACACATCTTTGCTAAAACTTACGTGGGCCGAAATTTAAAATTTATAATGAATGTGAACACTTTGTAGGATTTTATTCTGTGAGAAAGGTGAATAATTATTTGCAACTTAATATTATTATTGATTGACTTGCACTTCGATTATGATTATTGATTTTTACAGTTCGATTATGAGCATGCATATTTTTGAGCTTTTAGTTGAACCTACACGTGAAAGGTAGCAACGTACATGATAATTTTCGGCCTCGGTACAAAGCACAACATCTTTGCTAAAACTATAGTGGGTTGAAATTTGTGTTGATCGATTACTCTCAAATATAATTGGATCGCGAGTCCTGCTGCTGGAATTGGGGAAAACTTGAATGTTCTTGGGTTCACGTGAGAAGGTACGCTTGAAAATTATCAACCTTATCGTCTCTATCTCGGCGCGCCACGTGACAACGTCGCAGAGACATAATTAAGTGGTTCGAGCAGTTATAAATTTTAAATAAATGTGCATTCTCGAACACAATTAGATTTTGCGTCCACATGTTTGAATCGATGAATATTATTGTATTCTTGGCCATATTTGAGAACTATTACATAAGAGGCCCTTTCTCGCTCTCGACATTTGCACTTTGTCCAGCTTCTTCGATCAATAGGATTCCTTAATTCATCGCTAACCTCCGTATAAATATACGATCTCACTTCCTACGAAATTGCATAACTTGAATTGAAATAACATGAAAATAAATCATCATTGATGACCCCAGTAAAATAATTAATATCGAATATTTTTGTCGTTACAGAGAAGCGTCATCGAGGGAAAGCAAGAAGCTCCACACGCAGAAGACTTGAAGAAGTTGGACGAAGCTTTGGAGCTTTTAGAAAAGTTTCTTTCGAACTCAACTTTTGTTGCAGGCAAGCAACTTTCTGTCGCTGATTGCTGCCTTGTTGCCACCGTATCAACTTGTGAAGCAGTCAACCACAATATGAAAAAGTTCGTAAAAGTTGCAGCATGGTTAGAAAAATGTAAGCAGACACTCAAGGGCTACGAAAAATATAATACTCCTGGGCTGGATATGATCAAAACATTTTCTGAAATGCAGAAAAAGTCCCGGAAAAATAAGACAGCTACTTCTTCACAGTAGGCATCTAACTCAAAGCAATCTTTGCCTTCGGAAGGTTTCGCCGTTGCTGCCATTTTTTGGAAAGCTGAGAAAAAATTAATTTTTGAACTGAAACTCTCGTTTACACTAAGGAAAATCTAATGGAATCTTTCTGAAAATAATTCTAGGCATAATTCTAAACGAAAATCCAAAATGAGTTATCGCGCATGACGATAATCCTTGTATATATTTTTCTAGTCGAACATATATTCGGGAACTGATCTAAAGAAACCATTTGACGAGAATATCGATTACACTCATTATCCACTAAATTGGATAAATTCTAAAAAGGCAGTCATAGCGTACAGAGCTAATAAAAGTGAACGTAAGAGATCTGTACAATAATTTTCCTATCCTCACTGAACACAACTGTCGCTAATAAGAAAGCAGTTAAATAGAAAATGATTCTCTAGGAATCATCAAAACTTAATGGAAATGAAGCACATTCATTAATTGCTGCATTGCAATGAATGCAATGCAGCTTCAGTCTTTGATTTATTCTTTCAATGCCCGTGTGGCTGGATTGTTTTGCAAGGCCGTAAATTATCAATGCAGCGCTTTGTGTGTGACGGAAAATGCAATGAATTGCAGTGTGACTGTGCAGAGGTAAATGCAGTGATTTGGGGCGTGTCTGTGGCGGTAAATGCAATGAATTGCATTGTGCTTGTGTGGCAATAATTGCGATGAATTACAGGGCGCTTGTGTGGCGTAAATTCACTGCATCTTCTGATGGAATTAATACAGTGCGTCATGCCATAAATGATATCCATTATCCCATACAACATCTATCATATAGGGTAACGTGGGGCAGCGCGCCCCCCACTTTTTTTAAACTAAATTTTTGATGAAGTTTTAATTGATACGAGGTGGTTCTTTGTTTTGTTTAAAGGTACAACTAATGAGGAATGTATGATGTGAATTAGACGCCTATAGAGTTATTCAATTTTTAATGAAACACTATTTTGTAAAAAGTGTCAAAATGGGCTTGGGGCAAGGCGCCCACCCTTGGTCCCTTTACCACAATTGCATATTTTTCGTTTAAAAATGATAAAACAACACTTTACAGTTAAAAATAAGAAAAATGTAATAAAAAATATGACATTCATTCATTTATTAACAACTCAAAAATCATATCCATAACTTGAAAAAAATATACTCTTGGAAGAGAACACGGACCAATATCTGCCATACTTAGCGAGAAACCCGCTATGGGCCCGTGACCCGCAGTGGGCTCGCTGCCCCATGTTACCCTATTAATGAAAGTTTGTTGTAGCCATCCTAGCAATGGAAATATACAGGAAGTATTCGATGCGCATATATTCAGGAGCTATATATGCACAAAATCCCTTCAGGGTCGATATATTACTTGGACCTGAAATTTAATAAAGGATTATTAAATTGTTGGAAGCAAATTTTGTCCAGAAATAAAAAATGAAATTTATCTTCTAAATTAAAATGACAGCAGAATATGAATGCCTTGAAGAATGTATTAAGAATTATTTTATATATAATATATATCTCTTTAGTTGGGAATTATGAAAGCAAATACCAAATTGGGATGAGATGGTTCTGAAATCTAGGGAATTAATATTTTCTTGAGTAACGCCTGACTCGGCAGTATGTTTCATTGTAAAAATGTTTCTGCTGCAGCCGGTAAAATGTGTAAAGTTTTGAAGAAAATGTTACAGGACAAACTACGTTATAAAATGTCAACATGACCAGTTTTTAGTTTCTTTTTCTTTCTTGAAAAATCTTTTGTCGCTTTTGCTTCTTCATATTGAGCACTGATTTACATGAATTATTATAATGCTTAAATTCTTGATCTCACAAACCTAGAACCGTCAACCGAGCAATAGTTTCCTCAGCTTAGTTCGGACTAATAATGGAACAGATTTGAGTCATGTCTGCTGTCTAGGCCTGCAATTCAATGATGATATCTCAACTGCTGTTCTTATTTTTAATTTTTAGTAGCGTATAAAGTATTCCTGCAATTAAAATCCGTATTTTTACAACATTGCTAAGCTCTAAAATTAAATTTCTCCTGATCTGAGAACCATTAGTTTACGTTAGACATTTTATCAGCGGTCAGACACGGGTGTTTGTAACGAGCCTGACGCATCTTCCGAACGATTGAACAGATTATAATGAAATTTCGCACATGATTTCTCAGTAGCCATGTGGTGGTGCAGTTTTTTTAAATCCTTAGATTATATATGTTGTATTAATGAAAGATCTGTTTTAGAATAGATTAATCCAATAGCTAAAATTAAAAGTATACGTGCACAGTTAATGAAGAGCTGTTAATATTATATCATTTAAATGATAACCTTTCTATATTATAACGTAAAAATAAGTGTCGGAAGTTTGAAGCTACTTTTACTTTCTTCGATCGTGACAGAAGAAGAAAAGAAGGTGCGAACTCACGGCCGTGATGGAATTACACCCACTTTCCTCGGCGTCACTTTCACTTCAGCAATTACGAAAGAATTTACTTCCAATTTAGAAGGCTGAGAGAAAGATTTAAGTTATTACTTAAGTAGCAATAAATTCCATTCTTTTTAATATCAACGCATAAAAGTAGAACCTTTGAAATCTATTTTCCATTAAAAAACAACGACCAAACCTAAATTATTTTTTCGTGGCTCGCACAATCTTTTTAACCACATCAGGTCAATAACTCTAAAAACATAAAATTAAAGCATTAAGAATAAATGAGTAGGTATGAAGCGTTCTTAAACATCTCGAGTCAACAAATTCCTTAAAGCACCTGACGCTCAGTCAGCAAAAAAGTGTGCATGACTTCCTGTTTTCGATACTGAAAAAACATTTGCCATTTAGTTTGAAAGTGAATAAAGCTTGGATGCAAATTGTAATGTGCTTTTTCATGTGAAATTTAATAAAACCTGGAATGAATACTGTAGATTAACAAATTACTTTTTCATGTGAAATTGAATAATACTTGGATGCAAATTGTAAATTATTTTTCATATGAAACAGAATACAACCTGGATGCAAATTGCAGCGATTACAAACGTTTGCAGCGATCCACAGTTGCCCTTCATTGATCTTATTTCATCTTGGAAAATGTGATTGATCCACAAATGATTTAATCTAAAACGAATAAATGTATTCTAGGTTTTTTATTTAAATTACGAAGACGACGAACGATTCAAGGAAAAGTTGATGGAAACAAGCGCAATTAAACGTTTTTATAAATTTAATATCCATTTAATTATTCATCGCTCAAAGAAAACCTGCTGTGGTCGCCTATGAATTTAAATTTTTAATTTTCTATTACTTTATTGAGAGCAAGTACTGAACTTACAATCTGCCAGAAATATATTGCATCTCATTTCTCTCATTAAAGTAGCAAGGTGAAATTACCTCATGAATATTATGACTTTGAAATTGATTTCCGTCTTACAGCTAGAATTAAATTTGGTTTTGCACAAAAAGTTGGACAATATTACGTGTTGTTGTAAAAATAATTCATACATATTATTTTTATCTGCAATTCCTCACTTCTCGTCTTATTAAATTTGAATTGTCGATGATACAACATTAGATTAATGATGTAAACACTATTTTCTCATACAAATTTTTTTTTTCGATATTTCGTTCCAATTTCTCATGCTCTGATATAAATAATAGTGATTGTATGATTCACATCTTACTATACATTGGCGATAATACTTTATGTTAAGTTTACGTTAGATTACAAAATTCTTGCATTAAAATGCCTCATTTTAGTCCCATAGTCAAGATTAAGCTTCAATTGCGCTGAATCGAACTTGCCTTTCTAAGCTGTGAAGCAAGATTATAATTGAACTTGCAGGCTCAACGAGTTAATTGAAATAAAAGTTTAATTAATAAATCTTTATATTTTGTATGAAATCTACGTACGGGAAATAAACTTGTCTGAAAGCAACGTATTTGTTCCACAAAATTTGGAGAAACTGTAGCAGCTACTCAGCAGTGTCCTCGGCATCTCGTACTGTAGAATCACCTATGGATAGTGAGCTCGATTGAAGACCGGCATACCGGGCTACAGCGTTGCCATCGTTATTTTGGAGACCGGCATGCTGGGCTACAGCGTTGCCATCGTCATTGTGGAGACCGGCATGCCGGGCTACAGCGTTGCTATCGTCATTTTGGAGACCGCCATGCCGGGCTACAGCGTTACTATAGTCATTTTGGAGACCGGCATGCCGGGCTACAGCGTTGCCATCGTCATTGTGGAGACCGGCATGCCGGGCTACAGCGTTGCTATCGTCATTTTGGAGACCGGCATGCCGGGCTACAGCGTTGCTATAGTCATTTTGGAGACCGGCATGTCGGGCTACAGCGTTGCTATCGTCATTTTGGAGACCGGCATGTCGGGCTACAGCGTTGCTATCGTCATTTTGGAGACCGGCATGTCAGGCTACAGCGTTGCTACCGTCATATTGGAGATCAGCAGGGATCATCAATAACATTTAACAATATCCACATAAAGTATATGGTTTAATAAAATCTATGATATGTGAATGGTTTAATCAGATCCTATACTTCGTCATCGCACAACATGGCGATGGTGGTATAGTGGTGAGCATAGCTGCCTTCCAAGCAGTTGACCCGGGTTCGATTCCCGGCCATCGCAGCTTTTAGGAGTCGCGTCTGCTGCACTGCGCTGCTTCGTCACCAGGTTGGTTTTGTGACGAATGCAGCGTTGCGTTGCATTTTGGAGTGTTAGTCGCTAAATTGTTTGTTATGACGTGTGTTTATGTTGTGACGTTTGTATGTTGTGACGGGCCCGCTGGGCCTGGAGGATACACCGCACGCAGGGTGTAAGAAGCTCGTGGCGCTCCTCAAGCAAAGGGCGCGACCCTACTTTTTTAGCGCATTTTCTCATTTACGGAAAAAGGCGCTATTGTGCTCGTCATGTCCGTCCGTCTATCTATCCGTCCGTGACCACGTTTTAGTCGACAAGGAAATGCGCTCTCTGTCACTCACTGGAGTGAGTACTGAGTTATATTTTTTCCATCTCCCTGCCGCCCCCAGTGGTGGCTTGTGTGAATAAGGTGAGGAGCAGCTCTTGGGGAACATGCCTTGCTTGGGGGACATGTTCACCTCTTGGGCAGCGGCGCCCCCGAGGGCCTTGCCCAGGATGCTGATGATGTTGTCGACGCGGGTGTAAGGAAAGCCAAAGAATTCATCTGTTCCTCAGTAAACAAATTTCTTTTAAAGTATCAGCCATGAATTATGGTTTCAAAATTCATCTTAGTATTTTCAGTCGTTTTCATTCCTGATTGAGACTATATGGCATGTAGAGTGAACGATAGTGACTAGATA